GTGGTTTGATTGTTTATTATCAATCGGGGAATACCTATTTTGTGTCCCATTGTATGGAATCGACCCACTTTGTGGCATCCATGTATCGTCACGTACACACTAAGGTAGAGCTACGGTCGATAATAATTAAAAAAAATTGTTAAAAAAATATACAAGAAAGTGCAGAAAATAATAAAATTTTGTCAATCATAAAGAAATTTAGAAATATATACATAAACCTCAATCGTCCAAACCTAAGCCGATGTCACGTTTAAGATTCTCTTTCCAACATTAAAAAATGCAAAAAATTATCGATTGGAAAAAGCTATTTTTAGAAAATATTAATTCTAAAGTTCATGGAAATTTTCCTTCCTTCGTTAGAAGGGAAGTCGCAATTATTATCTATGAGGAACCACTTCAGAAACAAGCAGCATTTATGCTTGTAAATGAACACTACTTATACACTATTAAAACAACAGATTTTTATATTATCGCTATTAAAGGTTTGTTTTTGTTTTCTAAAAAGATAGTCACCAAGCAAAAGATTACAAAAATATGTAAACCTGCAATTTCCAGTCGTAAAAGGCATATATTTAATATCTTTTTAGCAATTTACAAAAGGATTCCTCCAACCTTCATTTACATTTTCCACAAAAAATTTCTATCGTTTTTCAAATATAACTTCATAACGTATTTTGCCATGAACTTACTCAAAACTCAGCTACCATAGAGTTAAGACGCAAATGAGGAATCGAATAAATGATATTTAAATACCGTTAAAATAAAAACGTGTTTAGTTATTGTCGGATAAAAAATAATAATGAAGTGTATAACGGTTAGTTTCTGTTTAACATTATTTGGCGTGGTCATGCTTGGAGAGGCAGGCGACGGCAAATATACTCGAGGATTAATTAAGTACTTAAGAAGGCAGTCGAGACTACATCAGGTAATGTTTATCACTGACGATCATCTACTCCAAAATTCAAGTACAAGCGCCGACTATCTGATCAGAGATGTTTCTCACCATTTTCCATCGTTCAGTACTAGTTTCTCTACACTGAACGAAAGTCTACACAAACACTTTCCACCTTCTGCACGACCACCAAGACGAACGACGTTATTCATTATGATTCTCAATGTCGATCAAGGTGACGCTTGGGGTAAAACGTTTCTAGCACTTATTCAACTGAAACTATTGTCGCAGGGACATTCGTATCCAAAATGTTTGATTAACATCATTTCTCAAAAAGAATCTCAATCGATAAAAGAAATTCTAGAATATTTTTGGTCTCTTGATTTTCTAGACATTGCAGTTTTGCAACACTTGAGAGAAAGCCAAACATCCCTGGAATTGGTAGCAGACAGACTGCCTATTTTGAATGAAATTAATCTTTTTGCGAAAACTTACAATGCTAATAAAATAACAGCCCAGACAAAATGGTTTCCGAACAAACTTCTAAATCTACATGGAAGTCTAATAAAATTCGGTCTCGGTTTCTTGAAGCATAATGACAACAAAGATCATTTTAAATCCCACTTGAGATTTGCAGACATTTTTTCAAAAACAATGCATTGTTTTCTAAAAATTACAAAAATTCCATCTTTACATGCACATGCATTGTATGAGACTATTTACCAAAAGAAACTGGAAATGATCTTAAATCTTAGGCGGTTCATGATTTTAGAAAGTCTTTCTTCAAAAAATCTTCTGATACGCATTGTGGACTTTGGAAATGGAAAGGCTGTGGTTCCAGTAACTTTAAAGTTCTCTAAAGTAATCGTAATTTCAAAGGAATTCCTGTTCATGTTACTTGCAACCACGGTTGTAATTGTAGGAATTCGAATAACAGCTTGGATTTTAAAATTCAACAGGACAACTTGGCAATTGTTCAACATCTGTCGAATTATAATGGGCACGTCTGTTACCAGAGAACCTGGGAAGACAGTGGAGAGAATAGTTTTTGGAATATTCTTGTTGAGTTGCATTGTCTACTCCAGTTATTTCTACTCAGTGATCTTGGACATCTCTTTGCAAGCCGAACCTCAAATTTCAAATCTTGAAGAACTTGCCAACTCGTCACTAACGCCGTTAGGATCTCCTGTTTCAATAAAGTCAATGCTTGAAAGTCCTATTAGTTACATTCGAAAACTAGGCACGAAAGCAAATTATACTTCTATTGTGAATACAGATAATGAATGTTTGGCTCACTTAACGAAATATGCAAATGTAACTTGTATTACAAATGATATAATTGTTAGCAAATTCAAGAAGCATTCAGAATACAGCGGCAGAATACTGCAAGAACCTGTGTCTTATTTTATTGTGAGCTGGTTAGCGAGAGACGGATCTCCTTTTCTTGATCGCTTCAATGAAGTAATACTCAAAGCATCAGAACACGGTTTACTGCCTTCTGTTGTGCACGAAAATAACAAGCAGCCAAATAGGCCTTCATCTCCTGAAGAAATCAGTAAGGAAAAATTGCTTATGATCGTCTGTTACTTGCTTGTTATAGGATACTCCGCCGCAGTGTTGTCTTTTATTGTGGAAATAATGAGCGTTATTAATTGGCGGCGTAAAATCCAAGCATTTTATCATCGATGCTGTAACTGTATGAAGTAAAATACGACAAAAAGGAATTGTTAGTAAGATATTATTTTAGATTTACGCAATGTGTATTTGAATAACCTTTTCTTTTTCTTCTATTGATTTTAACTACACTCAGAAAATTTATTTGTAACAGGCGGTTAATCACTGTCTCTGCCAATTACTGTGTGTTTATATGGCCAATAACTGTATTTTTTGACAGTTGTGTTATTTTATTTAAATATTTATTATTTACAATTTCCTGCTCGTGTGTCATTATCAACACTAAAAATAGAATAAATTTGCTTCTACTTTGTGCTTTTATAATACATTTTTGACAGATACAGTAACTTTGTCAATGAGTTAAACCTAAAAATTCTCTTAAGGGGCTGTTGCGTCGCAACAATTTAATTTAAAATCACAATTTAAAATTATTTATTTGATTTTATATTATATTTATATTTTATTAATATAATTTATATTACATTCACAAAATTAACAAACTCAAAATTTTAGCGAACAAAAACTCAAAATTTACAACACTAAAATAAATTCTCGGATTATCCTTTGCATTGAATATTATACATTTTCTTTAAAGTATGAAAAATTCATTTCAAACCTTGTATTTTTCTAAGAACCGTAATTTGCTAGTCTAAATTGTCGAGTGGTAATTTAGAAAAAAGCTATCATAAAAATGTTTTATTAGGCCAAGCATGGACCATCTATCCCTTTAGGATTAAGACCATTGTTCAAGCATAACAATAACTCGTCGTTGTAATTACTCACACATACACACGAACCTTATGCATTTTCTGTACCTCCGCCTTTTTGGGTTTTTCCTATAAGTAACCAATCATAGACAAACCAATCCCTCCTTTGCCAAATTTGGCACATCCCTCTCATCCCCAATACCTCACTTCTAAAAACTTTTCCGAAAAAACGTCAGATACAATTTGAACCTTGTAAGCAAAGAATAATTCCTTTTTACATTACACACACCGCGAAATTAAAACTTTACACACAACCAGTTGTAACATTGATATTATACAAAAATACAGTTTGAAATTAGAGTGAATTTCTCTAATTGTTTTTTATTTTATTTAACCTTTCTGATAATTAGCAAATAAAGTTTGATTACATCAGAACCATACATTAAAATAAATGTATGGAATTAACAGGGGCCAAGCATTGTATCGATTACTAACTAAAAAGATAGTGCGAGTCTACTGTGGAAAAAATATGCCGTCGATTGTTCGAATTTGCCAACGATGATATTAATTGATCAATCGCAAATCTCGATTGCAATACTGTCTTTACATGAGTGTAAGCATTGTAAAAATTTTTCTTCTATCTAAGGATAGATTCGAATTCAGCTTAAAAAAATACGTTAAAAAACGTTCTTACTTTTCCGGGTCCAAAAGTTGGCCCAAATTTGTTTTTCTGTATTATTATTATTATTATTATATAACAATTTAATACAATGCAAGCTTGCAAAACTTACATGACAAGCTTGCCGGAAGCTTTCTATAAAATTAGAGGACATTTAAGTATTACGTAAGGCTTAGAAAGATCTCTTTTGTGCTTTCTAGGATGATATAACTTCAAACATTTTTTAAAAAATTTTTTCCCTTTTTTTCTACTGTTAGATCATATTGTTTAAAATGCAAAAAAATTGCATTGAATTTTTTTCCAAACTTATGGAGTAACAAAATCTTTTTGAGGGTGTGTAATAAATTTTTATTTCTTTGACATTATAAATAATGCAACAACTTTAAACTTACGCGTCCAATTTAGGTAATCATTTCTCCTGCAAGGTCTCAATACCGGTTGTTCTTTCAATAATTAGAAAAAGTCGAGAAACAAGGATTGTTAATATTGACTTGAGAGTGTTTGTAAAAAAAAGCAGGAAAAGGAAGAGATGCAATAAGATTAAATAGTTCCGTTATAACTTACAAAAAGAGAAAAAAAACTCAACATGTTTATTTATTCGTTTCATGTTGCGAGCAATTAATTAATATTCGCGTTTACATAACTTCTACAGGACTATTCCTATTATATTTTATTATAGAATTTAAAAAAAAAATTATTTATTTTATTTATTTAATTAATTCATTTAATTTATTTAATTTATTTAATCTATTTTATTTATTTATTTTATTTATTTAATTTATTTTATTTATTTATTTATTTATTTATTTACTTTAAGAAAAGAAGATCATTACGAAAATATTTTTTTATAAGTTTTTAAATTATATTTTTTTGAAATATATTTTAAAATATATTAAATATATGAACATTGATTTATTATTTTTGATGAATATTTTATTACTTGTGATGATAATGATAATAATAAACGTTGCTTTTAGGGTATTTAAAATGTGAATAATTTTATTTTATCAAGCATGAGATTAATCTTGACTTTCTTTATAACCTTCAGAATCTGTGTGGATCAGAGTGCAGATAAGGAGCGACAGGTACGTGGCATGCAAATTGACATGGACAATCTTCAGAGACAAATGACGAGTTCATCGATGGACCGTGAAAATGCAATACAAGAAAATATGAGACTTCAAGACGATTTAGCGGCTGTTACTTGTGAGCTGCGAACACTTCAACGGGAACTTGACGCCTCGAGGGCAGAATCATTTGATCTGAAAAAGCAGCTTAAAACTTATGTCAGCGAAGTTAGGCGTATCGAAGAACTTTTAACGAAAAAGGTGCACTTCTCTTTTTTACAAAAAAAAAATACTTTTTTTATGTAGATTAAATAATTTTTCAAATTTTACAAAAACAATTGAATTCGACTTCAAATTTTGTATTAAAAAATTTGAAATTCTATTTGCAGGGCTCGAACTAGGTCCATTAATCCCAAAAATTCAATTATTTTCAAAAGTAATAAAATTCTTTGCAAAAATTCAATTATGTTCAAAAATTTTTTTAAATTCTCGTCAAAATTTCAATTATTTTAAAAAATAATAAAATTCTTCGCTGAAATTTAATTATTTTCATACATTTTCATAAAATTCTCGTCAAAATTTCAATTATTATCTTTAGAAATATTAAAATTCTTCTCCGAAATTCAATTATTTTCAAAAATTTTTATAAAATTCTCGTCAAAATTTCAATTATTTTTAGAAATAATAAAATTCTTCTCCGAAATTCAATTATTTTCAAAAACTTAAAAAAAATTCTCGTCAAAATTTCAATTATTTTTAGAAATAATAAAATTCTTCTCCGAAATTCAATTATTTTCAAAAACTTAAAAAAAATTCTCGTCAAAATTTCAATTATTTTTAGAAATAATAAAATTCTTCTCCGAAATTCAATTATTTTCAAAAATTTTAATAAAATTCTCGTCAAAATTTCAATTATTTTTAGAAATAATAAAATTCTTCTCCGAAATTCAATTATTTTCAAAAACTTAAAAAAAATTCTCGTCAAAATTTCAATTATTTTTAGAAATATTAAAATTCTTCTCCGAAATTCAATTATTTTCAAAAATTTTAATAAAATTCTCGTCAAAATTTCAATTATTTTTAGAAATAATTAAATTCTTCTCCAAAATTCAATTATTTTCAAAGATTTTAAACTCTTGGCAAAATTTTAATTATTTTCAAAAATTTTCGTTATTTCAATTATTTTTAATTTTTACTACTTTAATTAAATTTTCCTAAAGAATTCAATTATTTAAAAAAAAACTTAATTAATAAAATTCTACGAAAACCTTAAATTATTTTCATAAATAATAAAAATTTTTACAGGAATTAAATTATTTTCGTAAATAATTAAATTTTTTTTAGAATTTGAATTATTTTTAATGCATTTTTTAATGTATTATTTGAAAAATGTAATTCTTCATTAAAATTTTATTTAAATTCTTTAAAAAACTTCAATTTCAAGAAACATTCAATATTATTCAATAAATTATTTATTTTTGTATTTAAATAATTGAATTCTAGTAGATTTTTCTAATAAAAATTGATTTAAAAATGGATTTCAGTTAAAATTTTAGATTATAATTGAATTTTGAAAGCAGTAAAGTGTGAGTTTTTTTAAATAATTGAATTTTGAAAAGGTTTCAAATTAAAATCTTTGATAATCTGAAATTTTCATATTTTTAAAGTAATAATTTTATTTTTAAAAAAAGTAAAAAAAAGTAAAGTTAATTATTATATTTTAATAATCTATTTTACTATTACAGGAATTCAATGATTTACAAATTTTTTATAAATTTCTTCGCAATCATTCAATTATTTTCATAAATAAATAAAATTTTTACAGGGTTTCAATTATTTTCGTAAATAATTAAATTCTTTTTAGGAATTCAATTATTTTCATATAAATAATAAAACTCATTGAAGAATTTCAATTATTTTCAATAAAATTTTTAATGTATTCTTTGAAAAATGCAATTATTAATTAAAATTTTATTTAAATTCGTCAAAAGAATTCAATTTTAAAAAACATTCAATTATTCAATAAATTGTTTATTTTTGTATATTTAAATAATTGAATTCTAGTAGAATTTTCTAATAAAAATTGATTTAAAAATGAATATTTCATTAAAAAATTTAGATTATTATAATTGAATATTAAAATCATTATAGCATAAATTTTTAGAAATAATTGAATTTTGAAAAGGTTTCATATTAAAATCTTTGAAAATTTGAATTTTTTTATTTAATTGAAGAATTTACGAATAATTGAAATTTTGTAAAATTGAATTGTAAACAAATGAATTTGAAAATTCTCAAAGAATGTTTTCAAAAATTATTAAAAATAATGCATTTATAAAAGAATTTTAGTTAATAACACGAAAAAAAAATTTAATTTTGGAAAAATTACAAATTATTGCAGAAATTCAATTATTTTCAAAAGTAATAAAATTCTTCGCAGAAATTTAATTATGTTAAAAAATAATAAAATTCTTTTTCGGAATTCAATTTTTTTCATAGTTAATAAATCTTATTGTAAAATTTTAATTATTTTTTGTACAATTTTAATTGAATTCTTCGAAAAATGTAATTATTCTTAAAAATTTTATTAAAATTCGTCCAAAGAATTTAATAATTATTTAAAAATTTGTTGATAAAATTCTTTATGAGAATTCAATTTTAAGAAACATTCAATTATTCAATAAATTATTTATTTGCATTTTATTTGTATTTAAATAATTGAATTCTAGTAGAATTTTCTAATAAAAATTTTTTTTCATTTCATAAAAATGATTTTTAGTTAAAATTTTAGATTATAATTGAATATTGAATGCTATATTGATAGCATAAATATGTTTTATTTATTTATAATTATAATTTGGAGAAATTTAATTTATAGTTTGAAGTAAAATTGCCTTTAAAAAGTATAATGCGAAAGATGTTTAAGATGTAAAAATTGTGAAATTTATTATTCATCGATATAATTATTATAATTATTAAAAATGTTTCAGGAAACTGAGAGAACGGACATGTTGAATCATTTTCGAAGTTTAAGTTTAGAAGCAACAGTTTTGGAGAACAGTAATCATAGTTTAGAATCCGAAGCTGCTGAGGCAAGAGGAGCTCTTCAGTCCGCTCGAGATCGACTCTTAGATCTTGATCATCAAGTTGCAGATAAAGAAAATTTAATAAAAGGTTGTGAAGCACAGGTGTGTAGCTCAAAAATTCTCTTAATTTTAATATTTGCGTTTACTTATACAAAATTTATATATTAATCAAAAGAAAATGATAATTATTTTTCTAGATTATTAATTTAACACAAAATGTCGCCACTTTGGAAACGGAATTAAGACAACAAGAAGATCAAAGAATTAGAGCAGAATCTGATCTAAATGCTGTTAGAGATCTTTGTGTGAAATTAGATCAGCAAAAGGATAATCTTTTGCAACAATTAGGCGAAAGGGATTCTGTAAATTCGCAGGTGAAAAATAATTCTATTATTATTAATTAATTATAATAATCGTGGTATTCTTTTTTTTTCTTTTATATTTCAAAATAATTTTTAAAAGTAAACAAATAAAATTCATTAAAATATAAAATTTAAATCAATGAAATTTGACAAAATATTCAATTATTTCAATTTTTTAAATTATCTTTGGAAATACAATTATTTAAAAAAAAATTTAATTACATTTTTTCAAGAAAGGAATTTTTTCGGAATTTCTAAATCAGTTAAAAATTCAATTACTTTTTTAGAATTTTAGAACAAAATTATTCAAAGCTTTAAGAATTTTTTAAAAACAAATAATGTGATTAATAATTTTTTAAAAATAAAAATTTTTAAATTACATTTGCTTCCCTTAAATTTTCAAAGAATTTTAAAATTCCTATCAGAAATCAACTATAGGAAAATTGAATTATTTAAAGAGAATAATTTTTGTAAATTCATAAATAATAATGTATTTTCAAAAATCCAATTATATTTAACAGATAATTTTTAAAGAAAAAAAAAATAAAATTCTTTAAAATATAAAATTTACTTTAATTCTTATTTTTTTTACATAATTTAAACAAAATGAATTGTGCAATAAGCGGCTATCAATTGTTTTTGAACTCCAAAAAAAAAATTGTAAATGACAGTAAAACTCCATTTTAGATAATAAATAAATTTTTGGAAAAATTTTCTGTACACAATACTATGTGATATCACATTGTAAATAGTAAGACAATATTTTTTGCATGTTAATATCTTCTTTTAATATAAAACAAAAATATGTTTAACTTTAATAATTTAATAGGGAATTTATTCGTTGATATTCATCTCTATGAATTGAGATTGTAACATTCTTTCACAGAACACTTGTAAAATAGTTTTTCTTTTTTTCTTATGACTTCAGTTTGAATCACAACTCACTCGATTGAGAACAGAAAATTCAGTCGTTCAAGATCAAATAAACAGAGATAATGCTGCAATTGATCGTTTAGAAGATCTTTTGGATCAATCTAGACAGGAGTCGATGAATACCCAAACTGCCAATCAGGAATTGCAAAATGAAATCTTAAGACTGAAACAGAAAAACTCGGAGCTTCATTGCAAACTGTAAGAAAATGTTATATTTTTTAAATTTTAATTTCTGTCGTCTAGTAACTAGAAAATATTAATTTTGTTTTTTAAATTTAGACACTTTTTTAAAATTAAAATTTGAATATTATTATCAATAATAATATTATTATAAATATTATTATCGAAATTATTAGTCAGCAGCTTGAAAAAAATGAACATTTTAAATAATTTTTCTTTATTGTAGGTTAGTTTTTTTCTTCATAAAACGAATTAAACAGTGTTTTTACTCTTTATTTTCAGGGTGGCCACATGTCAGTAAAATTAGTAAAATCAGGGAAATTAAGAAAATTTAGACTTTTTTCGACTTATTTTAAAAAATTGCGACTTTTTCGACTTTTCTTCAAAATATTGCAACAAAATACCATATTTTTTACTATAAAATGCATTTTGTTTCAATTTTTATATTCGGAAGCTAACTATAAACAAATATTTCAAAAAATTATTTCTGAATCATTTTTTAAGATAATTAAATTTTTCAAATATATCTATAATAAAAATATTTTTGAATAATTCAAATCTTGTTAAATTTAATTGAAAATAATTAATTTTTCTCAAGTTTTTGTTACAATTTTTAAAAATCAACTTTTGAAAAATTTTAATTGCAAATTTTTGAAAATAATTGAATTATCAAATATTTTAATGAAATTCATCAAAAAATAAATTAGTTTTTTTAAATTATACAAATTTGTTTTTTTAGAAATTCAATTATTTTCGAAAAATTGCTTTTAAATATTTTTAAAAACTAATTCTTAGAATTGTTTTATCATAATTTTTTAAGATTCAGTTAATCTTCGAACAAAGTAAATAAAAATTTACTTTTTTAGTCTTATTAAAATTTCAGAGAAATCATGGTCATATTTATAATTAGAATTCTTCAAAAATTTGACTAAATTTTTACATTTTTCAAAAATTCAATTATTTTTAAAAGATTTTACCAAATTTTAATTGTTTGGAATTCATTGGAATTAAGATGTTCAGAAATTTCAAATTCAAACCTCTTTTCAAATTGAACAACTCATAAGAATATTATTATAAAACATAAAGATGACCGACTGACAAAATTATTAGTTTATTATTATAAGAATATTGTTACTGTTACTTCTTCAAAAATTATTTTCTTCATTTCTATTCAATTATTATTTTCTAGAATTCTAAAATTCTACTTTAAATCAATAACATCAATTATTATTATTCAATTAAACTTTTTCAAAAAAAATTAATTCTTCAGAATTGTTAGTTAAAAGTACGAAAAACAATAATTTAATTCTACAAGAAATCAATTATTTAAATACAAAAATAAATAATATTAAATGTTTCTTAAAATTTAATTTCTACGAAGAATTGTATTAACAACTTTTGAAAATATTTTATTTCTTTTAAGGAATTTAATTAAAATTCTAATGAAATTTATTATATTAAAGAATTTTATAACAATTTTTTGAAAACAATTGAAAACTTTTTGAAGAATATTATTAAATTTTTTAAAAATAATTGAATTCCTGAGAAGAATTTAAATAATAATTTTTGAAAACAATTAAATTGATGAGAAGAATTTTATTAAAATTTTTGAAAATAATTGACTTCTTGAGAAGAATTTAAAAAAAAATTTTGACAATAATTTAATTCTTGAGAACAATTTCCCTATCTATTTATAAAGATAATTTAATTCTTGACGAGAATTTTTAAAAAAATTTGAAAATAATTTAATTTCTGCAAAGTATTTTATTACTTTTCAAAAGAATTTAATTCTTCTGATAAATATTGATAATTAACAAAATAATTGAATTTTGGAAAAGAATTTTATTAAAATTCCTTAGAATAATTTATTTTATGGAAAGAATTTATGCAATTTTGTTGTTTATCAAGATAATTGAATTCTTTTGCAGAATTACTTAAAAATTGTTGAAAATAATTGATTTTCTGCGACGAATTAAATGTTATTTAGGAAAATATTTGAATTATTGCAACGAATTTTATTGTTTTATTGAATAATTGAATGTTTCTTAAAATTGAATTCTTTCCTCAAGTTTCAATACAATTTTGAATAATAATTGCATTTTTCAAGGAATTTATTTAAAATTGTATTAAAAATATTTGAAATTCTGCGATGAAAATAATTGAATTCGTAAATGAAATTTTATTATTTATGAAAATAATATTGAATCTTTTCGTAGAATTGTATCAACAAGTTTTTTCTATAATTAAATCTGTTGATAAATTTTATGAAAATAGTAAATATTGAAAAAATTGCATTGCGAAAAACTTTTAAAAATAATTGAAATGTTGCAAAGAATTTTATTTAAATTTTTGAAAATAATTGAATTTTTGGCGAAAAATTTTGCTATTTATAAAAATAATTGAATTCTTGACGAGATATTCATTAAAATTTATAAAAAATAATTGAATTCGTGCAAAGTATTTTATTAAATTTTGTTTAAATAATTGGAATTTTGACAAGAATTTAATTAAAATTTTTGACAATAATTGAATTCTTGAGAATAATTTTGATATTTATCAAAATAATTGAATTTTGGAAAAGAATTTCATTAAAAATCTTTAAAATAATTGATTTTATGGGGAGAATTTTGTTGGTTATCAAGATAATTGAATTCTTTTGCAAAATTACTTAAAAATTACTGAAAATAATTGATTTCCTGCGACGAAAAAAATAGGGGAAATTTGCAAAATAGGATACGTTTAGGGGCCAAAATTAAAAAAGGGGACTTTTAGGGAAATAGGGGACAGACTGTGAAGCCTGACACTGATTTTATTTTTACCCAAAAAAAATTTTTTTTTAAAAATATTTTAAAAAAAAAAAATTACACGCACATTTGTGTGATCATGCTGAAATTTGATTTGTATCTTTATAAGTTGTATGAAAATATTTACTCTAAAAACAATCGCTTTTTAACATAATAGACAAGTAATTTAATTTGTTAATTTTAAGGTCTTCCAATTCGTCAGAGCTGAAGAAATATCAGAATCAAGCAGCTGAATATAGTAAACAAGTGAGCGAATTACGAAGACAAGTCACAAACGAACGCTTTGATCGAGCGCGCAAAGAGGAAGAAACCAGAAGGTACATATTTTGCTATTTCACTAATTATAGAGAAAAAATTTCTGCACGTCTGCATAATATTTTATTATCCCATCTATATTAAGCCTAGAAAAACCTTCATCATGTTGTCATTGTCAATCTCCTCGACCCTCTCCTTCCAGTTCTTCAAATACTCCTCGAGAATACAATCGAACATCTCGTAGTAGACATTTCAGTTCTAGTGGTACATGGGAGCGATCACCAAGCAGGTTAGCGTGGAATGAAACATTAGAAACTAATTTATTTTTATGAAGAATGCTTCAGGCTTCACAGTATTAAGTACTTTTTTTAAATTGATTGAAGAAATAATTGGTTTTAAAACAACACATCGTCATTATTTTTTGAAAAATTAGACTTAAACAACTACTTCTTAGGAAAATATTATAAACTATATATGAGCGATTCCACAGGAAGTGATCAAAGGAAAAAAAAATTTTCTCCAATCGTGCCTAAACTGAGGGCTTTTGTAGTACTAACAGATAGTAATTTTTTGGTGAAAATATTTTTTCCATTTAGTCCAATATTTTCCTAGGGGAATCCGGTATTTTTAATTTTCAAAATCTAACATATCAGATTCGTAATTAGCGACCACAAAAACCCCCGAGTAACGAATTTGAGGAGAATTCGATCGATTTTTAAAAAAACTTGTCCGCCATATTGCATCCGCCATTTTGAAATTTTAAAAACTGAAAATGGTTGAAAATTTATGAGGTTCTGGGTTTTTAAAATTTAGTTTGCTCATAATTTAAAGTGATAAGAATAAAGTGTAAATAGGAAAATACTTTTTAAAATTTTTAAATCCTTATAAGTTTGCAAATTAAATAAAATTTAAGTGGGAAAAAAGTTGCTGATACTTATTTTTTTCATCTATTTATACTGTGCAGCCTGAAGTATGAATATTTATTGATAGTAAAAAAATCAACGTAATAAAAAATATGTACATATAATTTATATATTTAATTATTAATAATTTAAAAAATATAAAATTGATTATAGATATAAAATATTATAGTTATAAAATATTTCTGTACTAAATCTAAAATAGCATTAAATTTGTTATTATTTTAACAGCAACGACAAAAATTCTATTAGTAATTTAATTCAACATTTATTTACACAGATCTTGAATATTTTATGCTTATAATTTTGCTAGATGTGAATTTAAAAGCTATATTTATATTAACAACAAAATAATTATATTTTATCTATAATTTAATTAAGGAGATAGAAAAATTTTGTTTTCATCTATTTTTCAACATCTGTAATAAATATTAAAACAATTCTTTCTGAATTGAAATTAGTTTTCAAGAAAGTATTTAAAAGAAAAATTTCCCTTAGTTTTTTAAAAATATGTTTTATTCAGAAATTGATAAAAAGTTTGTTGTATGAATATTGGTTAGACAAAGAGATTGGCTGAAGAAGCCGTACAATGCTATTCCGTCCGGCATTCATTCTTCTAATGCACCGACGAATCGATCGTTAAGCTACCAAATATGCAAATGTTCAACCACAAAATCTAGCAGTGCTAGTGACGCTACCATCAGATTATCACCCGCATCCCTTACCTCTTATTCTGGATTAGAATCCACGCAGCCTTTGCAGACCTACAATTTCCATTAACTTCGAAAAAATCCCTTTTTCAGATACGTCCTTTTTTTGTCAATTTTTATATTTGCTACTATTTAGTTTACTGGATTTTGTGATATTCATTTTTTTTTTTAATAAATACATTTTTTTTCGTACAAGAGAGAATTACTTTTTCAAAACAACAGTAAATAAGCAGGGCTCGAACCGTAATTAATTTGATTGAGAAAAGACGAAAAGTTCGTAAATTGTGTACGATATAATTTGAAGAATTTTAGAGAAATTACAAATCATTGCAGAAATTCAATTATTTTCAAAAGTAATAAAAATTCTTCTCCGAAATTCAATTATGTTCAAAAATTTTTTTAAATTCTCGTCAAAATTTCAATTATCTTTAGAAATAATTAAATTCTTCTCTGAAATTCAATTAATTTCAAAAATTTTAATAAAATTAATGTCAAAATTTCAATTATTTTCAAAAATTTTCCTCAATTCAATGATTTTTAATATTTACTATTTTAATAAAATTTTTCATAAGAATTCAATTATTTAAAAAAAACTTAATAAAATTCTACGCAAACCTTAAATTATTTTCATAAATAATAAAAATTTCACAGGAATTCAATTATTTACCAATTTTTAAAAACTTTCTTCGCAATCATTCAATTATTTTCATAAATAAATAAAATTTTTACAGGAATTAAATTATTTTCGTAAATAATAAAATTCTTCTTAGGCATTTAATTATTTTCATAAATAATTTTGTTTTAAAAAAATAATTTTTACAGGAATTCAATTTTTTGTTTGTAAATGATAAAATTCAGAAATTCAATTTTTTTCATAAATAATAAATCTTATTGCAGAATTTCAATTATTTTTAATACAATTTTAATGGAATTTCTCGTAAAATGTAATTATTCTTGAAAATTTTATTAAAATTCGTCAAATGAATTGAATTATTTAAAAATTTATTAATAAAACTCTTTATAAGAATTCAATTTTCAGAAACAACACTTTAAGAAAATTCTTGGCAAAATTTCAATTATTTTCAAAAAATTTCTTCAATTCAATGATTTTTTATATCCACTATTTTTATAAAATTTTTCAAAAGAATTCAATTATTTTTAAAAAAATTAATTATAGCACAAAAAAAATTGAATTTTGGAGAAGTTACAAATGATTGCATAAATTCAATTATTTTGAAAAGTAATAAAATTCTTCGCAAAAATCCAATTATATTGAAAAATTCAAAAACAAATTCTCGTCAAAATTTCAACTATCTTTAGAAATAAAATAATTCTGCTCCGAAATCCAATTATTTTTAGAAACTTTAATAGAATTCTTGTCGAAATTAATAAAATGTTTTACAGGGTTTGAATTCTTTTTAATATAATTTTAATCAAATTCCTCAAATAATGTAATTATTCTTAAAACTTTCATTAAAATTCGTCAAAAAATTCAATTATTTAAAAATTTATTTATAAAATTCTTTACGAGATTAAAATTTTAAGAAACATTTAATAAATTATTTATTTTTGTTATTGATTTAAAAATTAATTTTAGTTAAAATTTTAGATAATAATAGAATTTTTAAAGCATTATATCATGAATTTTTAGAAATAATTGAATTTTAAAATGGTTTCAAAATTAAAATCTTTGAAAATCCGAATTTTTCATATTTTTAACAAACAATTCAGTAGAATTAATTTTTTTTGAATAAGTTTAATTGCGGATTCGTTTTTAAATTATTTGAAGTTTTTCTTTACTAATGTATACTTAATTAAAGAATTTCCGAATAATTGAAATTTCGTAAAATTTAATTGTAAATAAATGGATTTGGAAATTCTCAAAGAACTTTTTAAAAAATTATTCAAAATAATTGATTTAAAGAAGAATTTCAGTTAAAAATTCCAGAAAATAATAATTGAATTGAAATGAAGAAATAATTTTGAAAAAGTTATTGAATTTCAAAAAGTTATACAGTTTGCTTTTAATATTCAATTATAAACTAAAATTTGAACTGAAATTCATTTTTCAATCAATTTTTATTAGAAAATTCTACTAGAATTAAATTATTTAAATACAAAAATAAACAATTTATTGAATAATTGAATGTTTCTTCAAATTTCATTTTTCAAAGAATACATTAAAAAATGAATTAAAAATAATTGAAATTCTTCAATGAGCTTTATTAATTATGAAAATAATTGAATTCCTAAAAAGAATTTAATTATTTACAAAAACAATTGAATCTGTGTAAAAATTTTATTTATTTATTAAAATAATTAAATGATTGCGAAGAAAGTTTAAAAAAAAACTTGTAAATAATTGAATTCCTGTGAATTTTTTATTATTTATGAAAATAACTAAAGATTTGCGTAGAATTTTATTAAGTTTTTTTTAAATAATTGAATTCTTTTGGAAAATTTTATTAAAGTAGTAGATATTAAAAATAATTAAATTTTTGAAAAGCATTTTATAAAAATGTTTCTAAATAATTAAATTCTGGTAAAAAATTATATTATTTGTGAAAGTAATTGAATTTTCGGAAAAAATTTTACAAAAATGTTTTGAAATAATTGAATTCTGGTGAAAAATAATATAAAGAAAATATAAGAAAAATAATATAATTGTGAAAATAATTGAATTCTTGCAAAGAAATTTTTTGCTTAAAATTCTACATAATTAATGATAATAATTAAAGTCTTTCAAGGATTTTAATTAAAATTGCATTCAAAATAATTGAATTTTTTTAAAAAATTGAAATTAAACTTTTGAATAAGTAATTATGAAATCTTTAGAAAAGTTTTATTAAAATTGTATTCAGAATAATTACATTTTTGCGAAGAATTTTATTATTTATGCAAATTATTGAATTATCGCGAAAAAATTTATAAAAAGTTTGTAAATAATTGAATTTCTGTAAAATTTTTATTATTTATAAAAATAATTAAAAGTTTGCGTAGAATTTTATTACATTTTTTTTTAATAATTGAATTCTTTGGGGAATTCTTTTTAAAATAGTAGATATTAAAAATCATTGAATTGAGGAAAATTGGTGAAAATAATTAAAATTTTGCCAATAACTTTATTCGAAATTTTTGTAAAAAAAATTGAATTTCGGAGAAGAATTTAATTATTTTTAAAGAGAATTGAAATTTTGACTAGAATTTTAAAAAAAAATTTTGAAAATAATTGAATTTTTGCGAAGAATTTTATTACTTTTGAAAATAATTAAATTTCTGCTCTCAAAATTTTTCACAAATAATAAAACTCATCGCAGAATTTCAATTATTTTTAGTATAATTTTAATCAAATGCCACAAAAAATGTAATTATTTTTAAAAATTTTATTAAAATTCTTCGAAAGAATTCAATTTTTTAAAATTTTGTTTATTCTTTTTTGGGAATTGAATTTTAAGAAAGATACAATTATTCAATAAGTTATTTATTTTTATATTTAAATAATTGAATTCTAGTAGAATTTTCTAATAAAAATTGATTTAAAAATTAATTTATTTATAATTTTAGATAATAAACTTGAATATTAAATTAAAATCAATATATCTTTATTATTTTTGAAAATATTTGAATTTTGAAATTAATTTTTTTTTAGAAAGTTTAATTGCGTTTTTTTTTAATTATTTGAATTTTTTATTTTCTAATGTATGTTTAATTGAAAAATTCACGAATAATTGGAATTTCATAGAATTGAATATTGTAAAGAAATGAATTTGAAAATTGTCAAAGAACTTTTTCGAAAATTATTTTTAAAAAAATTTATTTAAAGAAGAATTTTGGTTAAGAATTCTTGAAAATCATAATTAAATTGATATATTGTTGTCAGTAATTGGTCCGTAAAATCCATTTTTTTTTAAATACGAATTATAAAGAAAATTAAAATATTTTCACTGGTTCGAGCCCTGTAAATAGAATTTCTTTTCAAAAATTTTCACACTTTTTAAATTTATTTGAAAAGAAATTCTTTTGTTATTATTTAAGGAAAAGTTTACAATCTAAAGAATTTGTTTCTATTTTCACAGGTCTTTGAATTCCACGCCAGACAGTTTTAATGTAGACTTAAATGTTGTAATATAAAGTGACATTCATTAAAACACTATCTTCGTTAACATATCTGTAGATATTTTCAACTTATGCCTGAGGAAAATACTACCATCTGCCCCTCGAGTTTTCCATCAAGAAAAATAAACAAATCTAATACGAAGTCTTCAAGTTGTCGATGCACTTTCTACTCAAAGTCAAAGGAAATTTCCAGCTCTCGCAATAATCATATTCCAGGGGAAAGTAGCAATTCAATCGAATTCGAGAAGTCTGATAAAGAAATTCCAAGGGATAGTTTAGTGAAAAAACATCAACTCAAGGATAATGGTAATAATTTAAAGAATAAAAAATTAAGTATAGATTATCAAAATGGTATAGGGGAAAAATTTCTAACACAAAAGGAAATTACAACTGCTTTGGAAAATGAAGCGGAAACATTGAAATTGAAAGAACCTAGTACCAAAAATATTCAGCAAATCGATTTAAGTTTAGAAAAATTAACAGAAGACAATGGAGGAAAATCTTTGGATAAAAATGAAAATACACGAAAGAGTCACACGAATTTAAAAGATACAAGTATTCAAACAGAATCAAAAAATTGCTGCGAAAATTTAAGGGAGGAAATATTTAATGTGCTTGAAAATCTTAAAGAGCAATCGAATGTTCGTCAAACTGTGAATTCTCCACCGACTCGTGGTTTTTTATCCAACACTCAAACTTTTGGAACTGGAATACATAATCCAATCGATCCGAATTTAGAATCTACTTTTGAAAATAGACCATTCAATGCAAACAGTCCTAAAGTTGATGATACTAAGAAAAATACTTACGCTTACAGCAATGACTCTTCGGGAAATTTTCTACATCGATTAGAAGAGAAAAAAGATTGTCTTTGTTGTGGTACAGAATTAACTTTACTTACAAATGAAGCAACGAAAAATTCAAAAAATTCTCAAAAATTAGAGAAACAGAAAGAGAAGCAGAAGGAAAAGGAGGAGAAGAATGTAAGAAAAGAGTTTGTAGAAAATAATAATTCTGACGATCCTCAAATTGTTGATGCATCAAGACCGGAATTTGTTGATGTTTTAATAGAAATTGGACAATGTACACGTAGTTTAGAAAGACAATTGGCACAAATGAACGAAGCTATGAGGAGTAGAATAAACGAAACAAATGGTAAGAAATTACTTTTACTTTTTAACTTTCCGCCTAGATACGTTTTTGAATATTAAATTATGACTCTCTAGAAGAAGCTGAAAAAATAGATTTTTTTTTAAAGTACTTTTTAAAATAAAATTAGCAATTTTTGAAAATAATAGCAGGCTTTGCATTTGTCTACTAAAACTTACTATTTACTACTATTTTTTTTTACAATTTGCTAATAAAAAAAATCAATTAAACTTTTTCAAAAAAATTAATTTCAAAAATTATTTCCAAAAAATGCAAGTTATATTGCTTTTAATATTCAATTATTATTTAAAATTATAACTGAAATTCATTTTTAAATCAATTTTTATTAGAAAACTACTGGAGTTCAATTATTTGAATACAAAAATAAATAATTGATTGAATAATTGATTATTTCTTAAAATTGAATGTTTATAAAGTATTTTATCAAAATTTAAAAAAATAATTGTTTTCTTCGAGGAATTTATTTTAAATTTTCGAAAAAATTTCATTAAAATTGTATTTTAAATAATTGAAAATCTGTGAAAATTTTATTATTTATGAAAATAATTGAAGTTTTTGTAAAGAATTTTATTACAATTTTTTTTAAATAATTGAATTTTTTTGTTAAATTTTATTAAAATAGTAGATAGGTATTAAAAATAATTGAATTTCATAGAAGAATTTCATTATTTAGAAAAACAATTGAATTTTCGCCAAAAAAAAGTTCTTAAAATTTTGGAAAATAATTGAATCGTATCAAAGAATTTTATTAAAATTTTCTTGTAAAAATTTTAATAGAACATTTTAGAAATTTTTAGAAATTTTTAGAAATTTCTAGACACATTTTAAACAATTTTAATAAAATTATTTAAAACAATTTAATTATTTTCTAAAAATTTTAGTAGAACATTTTAGAAATAAAACAATTTTTAGAAACATTTTAAACAATTTAAATAAAATTCTTTAAAACAATTTAATTGTTTTTCGGTATTTAAAAAAAAATTTTTTGCAAAAATTCAATTATTTTTCCAAATAACGAAATTCTTTGCTAAAATTCAATTATTTTCGTTATCTACTATTTTAATAAAATTTCACAAAAAAATTCCATTATTTATAAAATATTTTAATAAAAATCTTTGCAAAAACTTCAATTATTTTCATAAATAATAACATTTTTCACAGATTTACAATTATTTGGAGTAGATACAATTTTCATTCAATTTTTTGAAAATTGTAAATAAATTCACTCAAATAAATACAATTTATTATTATAAAAAATTTTTCAATTATTTTTTAAAATTTTGATAAAATATGGAAATTCAATTTTAAGAAATAAGTAATTATTCAATACATTATTTATTTTTGTATTTAAATAATTGAATTTTCGTACAACTTTTTAACGATAATTTATGAATTTCAGTTAAAATTTTAAAATTTAAACTTCTTTAATTCCGCTAATATAATTGAAATAAATAAATTATTCTCAAAAATTCATTATTATTATTCAATTTCAAAAAAACGCTAAAAGTCACTTTTTCAAAATTTTTAATTTTTAAAATGTCAATAACGGGATTAATAAAATTATTACTTTCAAATTATTTAAAGAATAATAATTTTTATGAACAGATGAGCTTCAGAAGGTTTTTAGTATTTGAAATTTTAGAAAATTTCAATTTTTATTTAATTTAATTAGAAATTTTAAAGAACTTAGATTTTTTAAAAATTTTAATAATTCAAATTCTTCTGAAATTAGTTCAATTTTTCAATATAAATATATTTAATAAATTGTTAAAAATCACGGATTTATAGAAGAATTTTAGTTAAAAACATAAAAAGAAATTGAATTTTGGAGAAGTTATAAATGATTGCAGACATTCAATTATTTTCAAAAGTAATAAAATTCTTCGCAGAAATTAAAATATATTCAAAAAATTAAAAAAAAAAAATTCTCGTCAAAATTTCAATTATTCCTAAAAATTTTATTAAAATTCGTCAAAAGATTTCAGTTACTTTAAAAAGTTGTTGACAAAATTCTTTATGAGAATTCAATTATTCAATAAATTATTTGTTTCGAATTTAAATAATTGAATTTTCGTAGAACTTTCTAACAAGAATTTATTTAAAAATGAATTTCAGTTAAAATTCTAGAATTTACACTATTTTAAGTTCGCTAATAATTGAAGTAAATAAATTATTCTCGAAAATTTTAATTATTCTTTAGGACGATTCAATTATTTTCCAAAATTTTAAGAACTTTTTTTTTGCAAAAATTCAATTATTTTTCCAAATAATTAAATTCTCCGCTGAAATTCAATTGTTTAAAGAAAATTATAATCACATTTTTTGCAAAAACTCCAATTATTTTCATAAATAATAACATTTTCACAAAATAGATTTTTAAAAAAAAATTAATATTTCAAATTTTTTTGAAATTTAGTTAAATTTTTTAATATTATATTTAATTAATTATTAAAAATAATGGAATTATAGACGAATTTTAGTTAAAAACGCTAAAAAAATTGAATTTTGGAGAAATTATTAATGATTGTAGAAATTCAATTATTTTCAGAAGCAATGAAATTCTTAGCAGAAATTCAATTATGTTACAATTTTTTTTTTAAATTCTCGTCGAAATTTCAATTATCTTTATAAATAATAAAATTCTTCTTTGAAATTCAATTATTTTCAAAAATTTTAATAAAATTCTTGGCCAAATTTCAATTATTTTCAACAAATTTTTTGAATTTAATGACTTTCAATATTTACTATTTTAATAAAATTTTTCATGAGAATTCAATTATTTAAAAAAAATTTTTAAGAAAATTCTGCTCAAAAATTTAATTATTTTCATAAATAATAAAAATTTTACAGAAATTTAATTCTTTACATGTTTTTAAAAATTTTTTCGCAATAATTTAATTCAATTATTTTCATAAATATTAAAACTCATCGCAGAATTTCAATTATTTTAAATATTTTTTTAATCGAATTCCTAAAAAATGTAATTATTCTTAAAAATTTTATTAAAATTCGTGACAAAAATTCAATTTTAAGAAACATTGAATTATTTAATAAATTATTTATTATTGTATTTAAGTAGTTGAATTCTCGAGAAATTTTTTAATAAAAATGAATTTTAGTTAAAATTTAACATAATAATTGAATTTTAAAAGCATTATAGCATGAATTTTTAGAAATAATTGAATTTTAAAAAGGTTTCAGATTAAAATCTTTGAAAATTTGAATTTTTCATACTTTTAACTGACAATTGTGTAGAATTAATTTTTTGCAAAAATTTAATTGAATATTTTTTGAAATTACTTGAAGTTTTTATTTTCTAACATAATATATTTAATTGAAGAATTTTCGAATAATAGAAATTTCGTAAAATTGAATTGTAAATAAATGGTTTTGAAAATTGTCAAAGAACTTTTTCAAAAATTATTAAACATAATTTAATGTCAAGAAGAATGTTAGTTAAATATTCTAGAAAATAATAATATTGAATAGAAATGAAGAAAATAATTTTTGAAGTAGTTACAATAACAATATTCTTATAATTTGTTGAATTTTAAAAAAGGTTTGAATTTGAAATTTTTTAATTAATCTTAATTCCTATGGAAAAATAATAAAGATTAAATATTCATTTTTAAAAAAACTATTGATGTTTTCGAATAATTTTACAAATAATTAAAAATTAATTAAATTCTTCGCAGAAATTCAATTATTTTCAAAAAATCTAAAAAAAATTGTAGTCAACATTTCAATTATCTTTATAATTATAAATAACAATAATCTTTGACAAAGTTCAATTATTTTGAGGAATTTTAATAAAATTCATTGCAAAATTCAATTATTTTCATAAATTCATTCATCACAAGAATTTAAATATTTTTAAAAATTTTAATAAAAATCATGTCAAAATTTCAATTATTTTCAACAAATTTTTTTTACTTTGATAGTTTTCAATATTCTACTATTTTAATAAAATTTCCGGAAAGAATTTAATTATTAAACAAAAATTTTTAAAAAATTATACACAAACTTTCAAATTATTTTCAGGAAAAAAATTTCTACATTAATTTAATTATTCAAAATAGAATTTGCATTAAATTTTATCGCAAAAATCAATTGTTTTAAAATTTGTCATTAAATACTTCGCAGTAATTCTTTATTTTTTAAGAATTAATTTTAGAAATTGTATGATTTCAGCCTGGACTTATAGAAACGAGAATACTCAACCAGTGGGAAGTTCAACTCCAAAAGAGGCAAAAACTGATGAACGAATATTTCTCTCACTCTCAAATTATATGGGATCGGATATTGCAAATTTCAGTATACCCGAGGAAGAAAGTGCCTTTGAAGAAGAACGTGTAACAAATAAAGCTGAAAGTAATACCATAAAAGAACTCAATAGAGATAATCAGCTATTCACATTATCACCAATTGGCACATCAACTCCAGTCATAGAAAAAAATAAAGTGATAATTTCCAAAAAGAGTACCCACGATAATGGCCAAGTTTCCAATATTCATGTGACTGCATCAAAAAAAATAATTCATTCAAATCAAATTCCAGGTCCTTCAACTAACAATCATTCATCGAATTTGAAAAATAATATGTCTACTTCAAAATCATCGGATATTTCTCTTTCGTCATTTATTGATGGAGAAAATAAAAACAAAAAAATACAAACAGATGACTTTGAAGAAACTCAATATAAAGATTTTCCTCGTTCAAAAAGAAAATAGCATAATAATAATGTAAAATTATCTAATTCTGAAAAATTAATTTTTTAAACTAGAGGTAAAATGTAATGGGAAAAATTTTAGTTTCTTTTTAATTGATATAATTATTCAAAAGATGTTTTATGGATAAAAAATAATTTCCCTTTTTCCACAATTCTTATGATTTTCATTTATATTTTTAATAAATTTATGTAATTATAGCTCTTTTACAAAGTATTTATAGAATTGGAAATATTTTATATATGATCTAAATATTTGTAAAAGTTTATAAATAAAGAAACTTTAGGTTTTAACATTTAAGAAATCTTCATTTCTTTTTTATTTTATTTTTAGGGTATTCCAGGGGTAAATCACACAATTGTCCCTTAAGAAGTTACCGATTTGACTCAAACTTTTTAGGCGCATTTCAGCCACTAAAAGCTACTAATTTCTGTTTTATTTTAGAATTTCTACTACTTTAAATTCGCTAATACTAGAAATCAAAAAACTATTCGAAAAAATTATATTCAAATTCTTTAAAATGATTAAACTATTTTCAATAAATATTCGAAATTCAATTATTTTTAATATCTAGTATTTTCAGAAAATTTCGCAAAAGAATTCATAAAAACAAATTGATAAAATTCATCCAAAAATCAATTATTTTCATAAATAATAAAATTTCCACAGGAATTTCAATTAATTAAGAATAGCATTTTAAAAAAAATTTCGAAAAAATCAATTATTTAACAAAATTTTTATACAATTCTTCACAATAATTCAATTACTTTCACTAATAATAACATTTTTCATCAAAATTCAATTATTTAAAAAAAATTTTGATAAAATTCTAACTAAAAATTTAATTATTTTCATAAATAATAAAACTCATCGAAGAATTTCAATTATTTTGAATTTTTTTTTAAATTAATTAATCGAAAAATTCAATTATTTTCACAAATAAAGTATTCCACAAAAATTCAATTATTTAAAATCAAATTTTCATAATATTTATTATATTTTGAAAAAATTAATTATTTAAAACAATATTTATAAAGTTCTTCTAAAGAATTCAATTATTTTCAAAAATAACAAAATTTTTCACAAAAATTCAATTCTTTTTAAGCACTTTAATAAGATTTTTTGCAATAATTCAATTATTTGAATAAATAATAAAATTCTTTTCAGGAATTAATTAATTAATTAATTTTTACAGGAATTACTCCAAAAATGTAATTATTCCTAAAAATTTAATTTTAATTTTCTCGAAAAAATCAATTATTTAAAAAAATACTTTTTTTATTTAACAAAATGTTCATCCAATTCTTTACTATAATTCAGTTACTTTCACTAATAATAAGTGTTTTCATGAAAATTCAATTATTTAAAAAAAGTTATAATAAAATTCTAAACAAGAATTCAATTATTTTCATAATTAATACTTAAAACTCATCGAAGAATTTCAATTATTTTTAATTATTTTAAATTAATTAATCGAAAAATTCAATTATTTTCACAAATAAAGTTCTGGACAAGAATTCAATTATAACAAAATTTTTCACAGAAATTCAATTTTTTTTCAACATTTTAATAAAATTTTTCACAATAATTAAATTATTTTCATAAATAATAAAATTCTTCCCAGGATTTCGATTATTTTTGGAAATTTTAATAAAATTCTTTGCAACTATTCAATTATTTTCATAAATAATAAAATTCATCGCAGGATCTCAATTATTTTTAATACAATTTTACAGGAATTAATAAAAAAATGTAATTATTTTTAAAAATTTAATTTTAATTCCAAGAAAAAATCAATTATTTAAAAAAATGTTTTTTTAAAATTCTTTAAAAGAATTCAATTATTTACAAAAATATTAGAATTTTTCACAGGAATTCAATTATTTTTAAATATTTTAATAAAATTGTTCGAAAGAAAAAATTATTTTAAATACAATTTTAATTAATTTTTTTTTTAAATAATTCAATTATTCTTTTAAATTTTAATAAAATTCCTCCCAAAAAATTCAATTATGTACATAAATAACAGTATTCATCACAAGAATTCAATTATTTTTAAAAGTAATAAATTTCTTCTTGGAAATTCAATTATTATTATAAAAAATTTTAATAAAATTGTTCGGAAGAATTCAATTATTTTCATATAAATAATAAAATGCTTTTTAGAAATTCGATTAGTTTCAATAAAATTTAATAAAATACTACACAGACATTCAATTATTGTCACAAATTTTAATAGAATTCTTTGTAAAATTTAATTATTTTTAAACACTTTTTGCAATTCAATGATTTTCAATATCTACTATTTTGGTAAATTTTATAATAACAGAATTCAATTGTTTAAAAAATTTGTTGTAAAAATCCTCGTAAGAATTCAATTCTTTTCATGGATAATATAAATTTCACAAGAATTGAATTATTTAAATACAAAAGTAAATTATTTATTGGATAATAGAATGTTTCTTAAAATTTAATTTTTATAAAGAATTTTATTAATAAATTTTTAAATAATTGAATTCTTTTGACAAATTTTAATAAAATTTTTTAGAATAATTACAATTTTCGTGGGAATTCTATTAAAATTGTATCAAAAATAATTAAAATCCTGCACCAAATTTTATTATTTATGAAAATAATTAAAATTTTTCTAAAATAATTGAATTTCGGAAAAGAATTTTATAATTTATAAAGATAATTGAAATTTTGCCAAAAATTTTTTTTCAATTTTTGAACATAATTGAATCTGTGATGAAATTTATTAAAAAGTTTGTAAATAATTGAATTCCTGTGAAATTTTGCGAAGAATTTTATTAAAATTTTTAAAAATAATTGAATTTTCAGGAAGATTTTTATTATTTATAAAGATAATTGAAATTTTGATCTTTACAAATATTTTTGAAAATAATATATTGATATTGAAAATCATTGAAATGAGGAAAATTTTTTTAAATAATTGAATTTTGAAGAAAAATTTTATTATCTTTTGAAAATAATTGAATTCTTTCAACGAATTTTATTTAAGTTTATAAAAATAACTGAATTTTTGTGAAGAATTTGATTTCTTTATAAAAATAATTAAATTCTAGCAAACGAATTTTATTCTAGTAGATAAAAATAATTGAATTTGGTGAGGAATTTTATTATTCATAAAAATAATTGAATTCTTGAAAAGAAGTTTGTTAAAATTTCTTTTAAATAATTGAATTCTTGCGACGAATTTTATAAAAATCTTTTTAAATAATTGCTATTTTTCGAAAAATTTTATGAAATTTTGTATTTTAAATAATTCAATTTTTGTGAAAAATGTATTTGTTATGAAAATAATCGAAGAAATTTATTAAAAATTTTGTAAATAATTGAATTCCTGTGAAAATTTGCCAAGAATTTTATTAAAATCTTTGAAAATAATTGAATTTCGAAGAAGAATTTTATTATTATTTATAAAGATAATTGAAATTATGACGAGAATTTTAAAAATATTATTGAAAATCATTGAAATGAGGAAAACTTTTTAAAATAATTGAATTTTGAAGAAAAATTTTTTTATTTATAAAGATAATAATTGGGATTTTGTTGAGATTTTTTTGTAAATTTTGAACATAATTGAATTTTGTGATAAGAATTTTAATACTTTTGAAAATAATTGAATTTCTGCAATCATTTGTAACTTCTTCAAAATTCAATTTTTTTCGTGGTTTTAACTGAAATTCTTCTATAAATCCATTATTTTTAATAATTAATTAAATGTACCTATATTGATAAATTTAACTAATTTTAGAAGATTTTGAATTATTAAAATTTTTTTAAAATCTAAGTTACGCAATAAAAAATTATAATGCAGAAAAAAAAATAAAAAAAACAATATTTTAAAACTATTTTTAATCTGAAGAAATAATTTTTAGAAATAAATTATTTATTTCGTACGTACACGATGTTATTATATTTCTTTACAAATTAAATTCAATTTATTTCAAGTAAAAGATATTTACATTAAAAAAATATTGGATTATAAGTACAAAAATATTTGTAAAGCGATAAATCGCAATTCTATATTATAATTAACAAACAAGGACAACAAGATGTACATTTCATGAAAAATAGAAAATTAAAAAGACATATTATTACTTTGACAAAATTTTTATTTACGACATATTATAAGGTAAAAGATAAGGCAAGTCATATTCACTTTAACGGGTATTAAAAAGCAGTAATTATAAATTTATTATAGAATTTTACAAATTTATCAAAACAGTTTGGCCTTCATTGGTCATATTACCTGTTAATGTTCGCAAAACATGTTTATACAAACTAATAAGTTGCAATAAATAATATTCTAAGTTAGCAATAGAAATTATTTTAAGTATGAAAAATTAACAAATTTCAACTATTTTAATATTTACTATTAATATCCAATAAAATAAATTAGAGAAAAGATGGTACACTTTCTGTCATTATATTTAGTGTATAAGGTAAAAAGGTTTCCATTACAACGTTCTATTCACTGTTAATAGAAAAAAATAAAAATTCTAAAAGAGTCCTTGCAAAAAATTTAAAGGAAAAATTCTAAAAAAATATTAAATATATCTTGTTAATTAATAAGAAATTCACAAAAAATACTGTAATAAAAATTTCTAACGGATAAAATAATCTGTTTCGCAGTTTCATTTCAGAAATGCATTAAACGAATATACAATTTAAATAACGTATATATTTATAACGAATTTTTACTACGAAATTAAAATATTTTTGTTTTGCTACTATCTCTCCTTTATTTTTTACTTCTGGTTGAAACATTCTGGGTGTTATTTATAATATTAATTTTAAAAAAATACATGTACCTTCATGTTTTCTAGATTATAAAAAAATTATAAGATTTGTAATGAATATGATTGTTGACATTTTTCTCGAGTATACAAGTTTCACATTTATAGTGTATACACTTGAGGGTTAATAAAAATGTAGCATGTTAAAAACATTTTCTTGTTTTTAGAAACTTTAATTTCATAAATATAGCAAAAAGTGTAATTATAATTTTTTTTTCACAATTCCCTAAATTTCTTGACCATTCAAGCAAATAAATTTCAAATTAATAAACAGAGGGTATAATAAATAACAGAAAAGAATATTTTCAAAGTAAAATGTAATTCACTATAGTAAATTACATTAAATTATTTTGAATACATTCGTTTCTGTTTAAAAAATTTTAACTTACAATTATTATTATTATTTATAATATAAAAAGTATACATAATTTATTATTTAACTATGTCCTTACAAACATTGTTAAATAATTAAATATATATATACTTTTTCAATTTTGTGTAAAACTATATGTTATTTATATTATACTTTTCTTTTTTTCTTAATCATTGCTTTACGCTTCTTTTCCATAGACTCCATTCGAATATCTTCTAGGTCTTCCATTATACCTGAAACAAAATTTAGAGTAAAATTTTTAATTTGAAATATTTTACATTTGCATAAAAATTAAATTACAAATTTTAACTCTGTCATTATTACTTAGTTCATTTCCAGGTAACATTTTTCTTATTTTACAGTGACATAGAGATAAAAATTTTCCGAAAGTGCGGTTAATTGATGAAACAAATTAATAGAAACGACGAATTTGCAATTTATATTCATTGAAAAATTTAGAGAGAAGAAATTCAATTATTTTCAAAAGTAATAAAATTCTTCGCAAAAATTCAATTATTTTCAAAAAATTTAAAAAATTCTAGCCAAAATTTCAATTGTTTTTAAAAATTATTAAATTCTTCTCCGAAATTCAATTATTTTCAAAAAATTTGAATAAAATTCTTCGCAAAATTTTAATTATTTTCAAATATTTTCCTCAATTCAATGATTTTTAATATATATCTACTATTTTAATAACATTTTCCAAAAGAATTCAATTATTTAAAAAAAAAATGAAATAAAATTCTACTCAAAAATGTAATTATTCTGAATACAATTTTAATAAAACTTTTCTAAAGATTTCAATTACTTATTCAAAACTTTAAATTCAATTTTTAAAAAAAATTCAATTTTTTTGAATGCAATTTTAATTAAAATCCTCGTAAGACTTTAATTATTATCATAAATTATGTAGAATTTTAAGCAATATATAATTATTTGCGAGAATTCAATTATTTTCACAATTATATTATTTTTCACCACAATTCAATTATTTACAAACATTTTTGTTAAATTCTTTTCGAAAATTCAATTATTTTCAAAAATAATATAATTTTTCACCAGAATTCAATTATTTAAAAAAACATTTTTATAAAATGCTTTTCAAAAATGCAATTAAAGCGTTTTGTGCAGAAACAGCATAAGTCCATAATTCGAAATTGTTCAGGAATCAATAAAAACTGTTTTTCTCGTAAATGTTAAGATTTTTTTTAATTCGGCTTTTTGCATTATATTCTACTAACCTATAAGTTAAAAAATCCAATATGATTAATTAATTATCTACTTAATATAAAAAATAAAAAAATAAATTAACATTTGGACTTATGCTGTTTCTGCACAAAATGAAATGAAAAACACAGAAAATTTATTAAATCTAGTTAAATATCAAAGTTTTATAAAATATTTAATAACATTTATTTAAAATATTAAATTTGGATAATTTTTAGTAACATTTTATTAATAATAAAATTGTTTTAAGAATAAATTTAACCAATTTACAATATTTTCTAATTTTAAAATAATTCAGTCACCACTGTCACTTTTTTCTTCCCATGAGTGTTTTTATTTATAATATAAACTGTTTAATATAAATTATTAAAATACGTCAAGAATATCACAAATAAATATAAAACTTATCATGGACTTGTGCTGTTTCTGCACAAAATGATATTTTTATTATTTTTTTTAAGGGTTTAGAGTTTAGTCACTTATGTAATATTTTACCAGATTGAAAAGCTTCATTTAAAGATTAATTTTCAATAAAAAAGTGATTTTCGAAAAAAATGGACTTATGCGGTTTCTGCACAAAACGCTTCAATTATTTTTAATATCTACTATTTTAATAAAATTTTGCAAAAGAATTTAATTATGAAAAAAAAATGTTAATAACATTAAATTATTTTCATAAATAATAAAAATTTCACAGGAATTCAATTATTTACAAGTTTTTTTTAAAACTTTCTTCGCAATCATTTAATTATTTTAATAAAAAAATTTAATTTTTACACAGATTCAATTCTTTTTGTAAATAATTAAATTCTTTTTATGAATTCAATTATTGTCATAATTAATACAGCTCATTGAAGAATTTCATTTATTTTCAATACATTTTATAATGTATTATTAGAAAAATGAAATTTGAAGAAACATTCAATTATTCAATAAATTATTTATTTTTGTATTTAAATAATTGAATTCTAGTAGAATTTTCTAATTAAAAATTGATTTAAAAACGAATTTCAGTTCAAATTTTAGTTTATAATTGAATATTAAATACAAAAATAAATAATTCATTGAATAATTTAATGTTCCTCAAAATTGAAATTCTGCGATGAGTTTGATTATTTCTGAAAATAATGGAATTATTTGCGAAGAAATTTATAAAAAATTTGTAAATAGTTGAATTCTTGTGAAATTTTTGTTATTTATGAAAATAATTAAACGTTTGCGTAGAATTTTATTAAAATTTTTCTTAAATAATTGAATTCTTGTGGAAAATTTTATTAAAATTGTAAATATTGTATATAATTGAATTTAGGAAAATTTTTGCAAATAATTATAATTTTGCCAAGAATTATATTAAAATTTTTGAAAATAATTGATTTTTTGCGAAGAATTTTATTATTTTTTAAAATAATTGAATTTTTGCAATTATTTGAAACTTCTCCAAAATTAAAATTTTTTTTTAGTGATTTTAACTAAAATTGCCTAGATAAATTTATTATTTTTAATAATTAATTAAATATATATATATTAAAAAATTTAACAAATATTTTGGAATTATTTAAATTTTGAAAATTTTTGCAAAAATGTAAGTTTTTTAGAATTTCTAATGAAATTCATTAAAAATTGAAATTTTATAAAATTTGAAGTTAAAATATTTTCAAGTTCATCTATTTATGAAAATTGTAAACGAAACTATTTTAAAGTTGAATTAATTTTGAAATGTATAAATAAAATTTTATTTATTATTCATGAAATAATTTCTAAGTTATAATTTTATGATAGTTCTTCAAGAATTAAGTTATTTAAAAAGAAATTATTGTCAGAAATGGAAAAAATTGAAGGTTTTATATTAGAATTTTTGCAACGTTATAAGCACCTAATAAAAAAAAAATGACACAAATTCAAAATTTTCTTATGAATTCTGAAAATTTAATTTTTTTCAGTACTTTTAATAAAAATCGCTGACTTTTCCCTGAATTCTCTGCTTTATCATAAAAAAAATATCAAACTTACCAATTTTAGTTGAAACATATTCTTCTTTCAATTGCTGGGCAAAATTACTTTCCATTGCTCTATCATCATCATCTTCATCATCATAGTAACTTTTATATTTATTTTTATCGTAACCAAAAATTTCACTTATATATTTACTATAATCTTGACTTCCATCCTCTTCATCACCATTATCAATAAAATCGTCTAATTCGGAATCATATTCATCATCATCATCATCCTTAAATATTGCTCTACCTAAAAATTACAATAATTTTTTTATTATTAAAAAGAACAAAATTAAAAAATTTTAAACTATTATCACTCTGTTGTCTTGTTAAAATTTGAAACGAAACGATCTCTCACTTACCATTAGTATACTTCTTATTCTTCATAGGAACTTTACTATTCCTAGACATTTTTAAATTTCTCTCAGCCATTAATTTTGATTGTTTAGAATTTAGTGACCTCTCTACACTCTGTTTTGTACTATTCACTTTGCCCAAATCGCGAGCACTGGTATTTCCAATTTTACTTGGAACTTTATTTGTTGGAACATTTGTATTTGTCTTCTCAACATTATTCTTTTTTTTAATAACACTTAATTTACGTTTCTCTTCTTCAATACTTCGTCGCATTTCTTCCAATTTTTTACGTTCTATTTCCAATTTTTTACGTTCATCTAAAATATCATCTTTATGTTTACTCTTTTGTGGTGTACTTTTCAAATTTGTGGGATTTCGATCAGTGGGTGTAATTTGAGTTGGTTTTTTATTAGGCACGGAACTTTTTTCCACTGTTATTTTTTTTACTTTATTAGATTCTTGTGGTTTTGAGTCATTTGATTTTTCCGGTTTATTGTTGTCGGTGGGTAATTTATTACTAGCTAGATTATTTTCACCTAAACGATTTCTTTCCTCCCTTGCATCGCGACATTCCTTTTCTCTTGCATATTCTCTTAATTGTTTCTTGGTCATTAATCTTTCAGGTTCCTCCGGTTTTGGTTTTACGTCGATAACTATTGGCTCATGTTGCTTTTGTGCAGCGAGTTTTAAAAGTTGTCCGAAATCCATTGCTGGTGGTAATGGTCTGTTCTTCGGTTTTGGTTTTTCACTTTTATGAGTGTTATCGGAACTTTTTTTTTCATCCACAACAACTTTTGTTTCTTCTTCAACAGTTTTTGTTGATTTTCTTTTTCTTCTATGTCCTTGAGATTCTTCAATTTCCTGTTGCTTCAATGCTTGTTTAACTCTGTCCTGTAAACAAAATTGGTTTTAAAAAATACGATTCAAGTTTTTTGCATGACGCATTTTTTATCAATTATTTTAATAAAATACGACTTTTCTGAAAAAATTTTGACTTTTTTCCTGACCCTAAAGAATATTTTGATTCACTCTAAAAATGATTAGATACTCAAAAAAATGTTCTACAGCATTTATTTACGAATTTCTTGATAAATTCTTTATTGGAATTCAATTAAAATTACATTGAAAATAATTCAATTCTAATAAAGAATTAAATCTATCAAAATTCTTAAGAATAATTTAATTTTTTCCAAGAATTTCATTAAAATTTTTAAAATAGGTAATTGAATTTTATCATGAAATTTTTTTCAAATTATATTAAAAATAATTGAATTTCTGCGAAAATTTTGATATTTATGAAAATAATTGAATAATTGCCAAAAATTTCATTAAGATTCTTCAAAATAATTGAGTTTCTGCAAAATATTTTTATTATTTAACGAAAATATTTAAATTCTTGCGACAAATTTTATTAAAACTTCTGAAAGAAATTGAAGATCTGCAAACAATTTTGTTTTTTTTTAATTTAAATGACAAAAATGTTATTGAAATTTTTGAAAATAATTGAATTTCTGCTAATTTTTCACAGAAATTTAATTACCTTTGAAAATTTTAATAAAATTCTTCGCAAGAATTCGATTATTTTCATAAATGAATTTTAAGTATTTTTAATAAAAATTTAATCGAATTCCTCTAAAAATTTAATTATTTTTAAAACTTTTATTGAAATTCGTCGAAAGAATTCAATTATTTAAAAATTTGTTGATAAAATTCTTTATGCGACTTCAGTTTTGAGGAAAATTAAATGATTTATTTTTGTATTTAAATAATTGAATTCTCGTAGAATTTTCTAATGAAAATTGATTTAAAAATGAATTTCAATTTAAATTTTAGATAATAATTGAACATAAAAAGCATTAGAACGTGAATTGTTAAAAATAATTGAATTTTGAAAACTTTTCTAATTAAAATCTTTGAAAATCTGAATTTTTCATATTTTTAAAGTAATAAGTAATTTTATTTAGAAAAAAAAGTAAAATTAATTATATTTTAGTAATCTATTTTACTATTACAAGAATTCAATTATTTGCACATTTTTTTATAAATTTCTTCGCAATAATTCAATTGTTTTCATAATAATTAATAAAGGAAACACTAAATTAATAAATTATTCATTTTTGTATTTAAAGAATTGAATTCTCGTAAAATATTCTAATAAAAATTGTTTTTAAAACTGAATTTCAGTTAAAATTTTAGATTTTAATTAAATATTTAAAGCATTATAATGTGAATTTTTAGAAATAATTGAATTTTGAAAGGGTTTCAAATTAAAATCATTGAATATCAGAATTTTTTATACTTTTAACTAAAAATTCTGTATAATTAATTTTTTTGAAAGAGTTTATTTGAACTTTTTTTTAAAATTATTTGAAGTTTTTATTTTCTAATATATATTTAATTGAAGAATTTCCGAATAATCGAAATTTCGTAAAATTGAATTGTAAACAAATGGATTTGAAAATTCTCAAAGAACTTTTTAAAAAATTATTAAAAATAATTGATTTAAAGAAGAATTTCAGTTAAAAATTCCAGAAAATAATAATTGAATTGAAATGAAGAAATAATTTTGAAAAACTTATTGAATTTCAAAAGGTTATACACTTTGCTTTTAATATTCAATTATAAACTAAAATTTAAACTGAAATTTATTTTTAAATCAATTTTTATTAGATAATTCTACTAGAATTCAATTATTTAAATACAAAAATAAATAATTTATTGAATAATTGAATGTTTCTTCAAATTGCATTTTTCAAAGAATAGATTAAAAAATGTATTAAAAATAATTGAAATTCTTCAATGAGCTTTATTAATATTGAAAATAATTAAATTCATAAAAAGAATTTAATTATTTACGAAAATAATTGAATTCCTGTAAAAATTTTATTTATCTATTAAAATAATTGAATGATTGCGAAGAAAGTTTTAAAAAATTTGTAAATAGTTGAATTCCTGTGAAATTTTTATTATTTATAAAAATAGTTTAATGTTAGCTTAGATTTTTATCATAATTTTTTAAAAAATAATTGATTTCTTTTAAAAAATTATATTAAAATAGTAGATATTAAAAATAATTGAATTTTTGAAAAGCATTTTATAAAAATGTTTTTAAATAATTGGAGTCTGGTGAAAAATTATATTATTTGTGAAAATAATTAAATTTTTGGAAAAAATTTTACAAAAATGGTTTTAAATAATTGAATTCTGGTGAAAAATAATATAATTGTGAAAATAATTGAATTTTTGCAAAGAATTATATATTGCTTAAAATTCTACGTAATTTATGATAATAATTAAAGTCTTTCGAGGATTTTAATTAAAATTGCATTCAAAATAATTGGATTTTTTTAAAAAATTGAATTTAAACTTTTAAATAAGTAATTGAAGTCTTTAGAAAAGTTTTAATAAAATTGTACATTTTTGCGAAGAATTTTATTATTTATGCAAATAATTGAATTATTTTCTAATTTTCATTTAATTGAAGAATTTACAAATAATTGAAATTCGTAAAATTGAATATTGTAAGCAAATGGATTTGAAAATTTAATTGTCAAAAAACTTTTTCGAAAATTAATTGCTTTAAAGAAGAATTTTAGTTAAAAATTCTTAAAAATAATAATTGAATTGAAACGATGAAAATAATTTTGAAGAAGATAATAAGAAAAAATTATACCTTCGTTGATGCAATATCCTTTACTGTTTTTTTACCAGCAGCTGCAAAAATAGATTTTTCTGGTGGTAGACTCTGGTATTTGTTCATTAATTTATTATAAAACGCTGATGCTTCCTGTGAAACATAACCGTAATCATCCTCGTCAGGTTGAGAAGGACCTGCAACGATTCAAATAAAATAAAGAATAAATTTAATATCTGTAGCCTCTTTAAAAATTAATTTCAAATATTCTCTGTCTAAAATCGAAACGCTCGTTCGCACTGCCACCTACGGAATCTTGATATTTTAAAGATCATATAAAAACTTAGGTGACAAAAAAATCATTTCTGACTGTTTTGCCAATTTAGATAGAATTTGAAATGCTCTTTCATATGGTGAAAACCAAAAAGTCATTAATTGTTAAAACTTTTATTAAAAATGAGGAGAAGAGTAAAAATACCAAAGAAACTGATTTTATTTGACTGATACAATATGGCAGATATGAAATTCAATTATTTTTTAGAAATTTTAATAAAATTCTTTGCAAAATTTAATTATTTTCATAAATAATAACATTCATCACAAGAATTCGATTATTTTCAAAAATTTTATCGAATATCTCGTCAAGAATTTAATTATCTTTATAAATAACAAAATTTTCACCCAAAAATTCAATTATTCTCAAAAATTTAAATAACATTCTTTGCAAAATTCAAATTATTTTCAAAATATTTTCGCAATTCAAATGATTTTCAATATTTTATTTTCCTAATATATCACAAAATTTAATTATTGAAACAAAATTTTTGATACAACATTCAATTATTTGTATAAATGATAAAATTTCTTTTAGGAATTAAATTATTTTCATCGCAGAATTTCGAATATTTTTAAATTTAATTTTAAATAAATTCCTTGAAAAATGCAATTATTATTAAAAATTTTATTAAAATTTGAGGAAAGAATTCAATTTTAAGAAACATTCAATTATTCAATAAAACAATAAAATTCGTTGCAACAATTCAATTATTTTAAGGGATTTTAATAAAATTCTTTTCCCAAATTCAATTATTTTGAAAAATATCAAAATCACAAGAATCCAATTCTTTTGAAAAGTAATAAAAAAACTTTGCAAAAATTAAATTATTTTTAAAATTTTTGAAAAATTCTCTTCAAGAATTAAATTATTTTTATAAGTAAGTAGCAAAATTCTTCTGAAGAAGTAAATTATTTTCAAAAATTTTAATAAAATTCTTGTCCAAATTTCAATTATTTAAAGTTTTAAACAAAATTTAATAAAATTCCTCCCATGAATGCAATTATTTTCAAAAATTATTTTTTAAATTCTTCTCATGATTTCAATTAATTTAAAAAATTCTAATAAAATTCTTCAAAAGTTTTCAATTATATTTTCAAAAATTGTGATAAAATTCTCTAATTTTTTTTTATAAATTTCAGTAAATTTTTAATTAAATTTCTTAAAAGAAATTAATTATTTTTAAAAGTTGTAAATAAAATTCTTCTTAAAATTTCATTTGTCACATTCAACTAGGTATTCAATAAATTATTTATTTTTGTATTTAAATAGTTTTTTTTTGTGAATTTTAGAAGTAATTGAATTTTGAAAAGGTTTTAAATTAAAATCTTCGACAATTTTAATTTTTCGTACTTTTAACTAAAAATTCTGTAGAATTATTTTTTTTTAAAAGTTTAATTTAATTTTTTTTTTTTTAAATAATTTGAAGTTTTTATTTTCTAATATATATATATATTTAATTGAAGAAATTTACGAATAATCGAAATTTCGAAAAAGTGGATTGTTAACAAATAAATTTGGAAATTCTCAAAGAAATTTTTCAAAAATTATTTAAAATAATTGATTTAAAGAAAGATTTTAGTTATAAATTCTAGAAAATAATAAATTGAATTTAAATTATGAAAATAATTTTCGAAGAAGTTAGAGTAACAATATTTTTATTTAAATTAATAATTTTATCACTGGATTATTTTTAATTATTATAAGTTATTGAATTTCAAAAGGTTTGAATTTAAAATTTTTGAAAATCTTATTTTCTGTGGAAAAATAATAAAAATTAAATATTTATTTAAAAACGAAGTTATCGATGTTTTCGAATAATTTCACAATTAAAAAAATTCGTAAATAAATGTAATAGAACATTTTTTTGAGTGTGTGTTACTTTCAGAATTATTTAAAAAAGTGGGAAACATATTTAAAAATGGAAATTGTCAAAACTTTAGAAGAAGTGAGAGAAAATTGAGAAAATATAAAAACGTGTAATGAATAAACGTGTTCTAAACTCAAAAACCAAAATAATTCTATATTTATTGAGTCAGTGAATTAATAAATAGAAAGTGCAAAATTTAATACCTGCCATAGTAATGGCCGTATTTTCCATGTCGACTGCATCATCCAAAACCGATTTGTTGGCTGATTTACATACTTTTAAATGCTTGTTAATTTTACTTTGCGCTTTATGATCGCGCAAAGCTAAAAGGTTCTGAAAAATTTTAATTCCATTATTTTTATAAAGCATAAAAAAGTTTGTTAACACTGTTTTGATGCAAATAAAAATAGAAAAAAAATTTTATAAAGTTAATTCTTCAGTTTTTTTTATTAATTTACAACTTATATTTATAATTTTATTTTCTATTGACTGAAGTAAAAAGTTAAAAAAAATGCAAATTATTTCACAAAACACACGAAGGTGGAGTCGCATTTACAAAGTTAAAGTATTTTAATATATATATATATTTAAAAAGCATTATTTCATGGGATTTTTATTACTCTTACCTTTTTCTTCAATGATTCCTCTGAAGCCTTACGTTTTTCTTCAGCCTCTTTTTTTGCAAGAAATAATTTTATATTATTCGATAGTACTTGACTTTGACGATTTTCTTTTTTAGGAGGTGTGAATTTTGCTGGATAATAGGAAGTGGACTGAAATTAAAAAAATTAGTTAAGATTTTGAAAACCAGAAGGTCAACATTTTACAATATTAACATTATTACTTTCAAGGATTTTCTTTTTGAAATTTAATGAAAATTCTTCATTTTTTAAAAAATATAATTTTTCTAACAGTTTTTCTTTAAATTTAAAAAAAAAATTAAGAATTATTTGAACAACTCGTGTAGAAATCGCTAACAAGATATTTCTAACAACAACTTGAATGTAAGATATTTTTGATTAAATAATTGAACTTTCGAGTACTACTAGAACAATCCTGGTAAAAAGTTTCAATAAAAAATTTCTTTTTTTTCAATTCAATTATTTTCCAAATTTTCAATTAGAATTCTTAAAAAATACGATTATATTTCAAAATAATTTTCAAAAGTAAACAAATAAAATTTATTTCAATGAAATTTGACAAAGTTTTCAACTGTTTCAATTTTTTAAAATTATTTTCGAAAGTAAAATTATTTTTAAAAAATTTTAATTACTTTTTTTCAAGAAAGAAATTTTTTCGGAATTTCTAAATTAAATTATTCAAATCTTCAAAACTTTTTGTTAACCAAAAATTTTAAAACTTATTCTTATTCATTTTTTAATTTTTAAGGAAACTAACAAATTAATAAATTTTTATACTTAAATATTATTATACTCTTACAGAAATTAGAATTTCAAAGATTTTAATTTAAAAACTTTTTGAAATTTAACTATATTTCTAAAGAATTCTACTTTAACACTTGTAATTATTTTCTAAAGTTTTAACTAAAATTCTTTTTTAAATCAATTCTTATTAGAATTCAATTATTTTAATACAAAAATTAATAATTCATAAAATAGTTAAATATTTTTAAAAATTGCAACTGTACCTCTTTATTGAGTTTTTGAAATTAGGGTTCAATTTTCTTACTTCACATATTTTATTATTTACAAATTAATTGTCAAACTTTTAACATAACAATTCGTACTGTAAAACAATTTCTGCAATTTTTTATTTGTTTATAAAAACTAAAACAACAATTTTTTCATAAAATGGATAATTTTTGTAAAAAAAATATTAATAAACGAACCTAATTAGTTGAAAAGCATCTCACAAACACTTTCTAGCAATAATAAATTAATTGAAAAATTTCTCTTATTTATAAACAATTTTAGGGTTTTTAGTAAAAAAAACTGCAACTTATTTTGATTTTTATAATGCAAAAAATAACTATAAACAAATCTTTCAAAAATTGTTTTTGAATAGCTAAAATTTTGTAAAATTTAATTTTATTTCAAGTATTTTGTTATAATTTTCAAAAATTAACTTTTCAGGGTTGCCACGCTTTTGATCATTATTTTATATTATAAGAATATTGTTACTGTAACTTATTCAAAATTACTTTCATCATTTTAATTCATTTTTTGTTTTCCAAAATTTTTAACTAAAATTCTTCTTTAAATTAATTATTATTAATTATTATTAATAATTTTTAAAACATTTCTTTCAACATTTTCAAATCCTTTTGTTTACAATTCAATTTTACGAAATTTCATCGATTATTCGGAAATTCTTCAATCAAATATATTACAAAATAAAAACTTCAAATAACTTAAAAAACATTCAATTGAACTTTTTCAAAAAAAAAATAAATCTACACAACTTTCAGTTAAAAGTATGAAAAATTCAAACATTCAAAGATCGAAATTCAATTATCTACAATTTTAACTGAAATTCATATTTGAATCAATTATAATTAGAAAATTCTACGACAATTCAATTATCTAAATACAAAAATAAGTAATTTATTGAATAATTCAATGTTTCTTAAAATTCAATTCCCATAAAGAATTTAATTAACAAATTTTTAAATAATTGAATTCTATCAACGAATTTTAATAAAATTTTTAAGAATAATTACATTTTTCGAGAAATTCCATTAAAATTGTATTAAAAATAATTTAAATTCAGCAATGAGTTTTATTATTTGTGAAACTAATTGAATCCCTAATAAGAATTTTATTACGTTTAAACAATATTTAATTTTTGCGAAGAATATTATTACTCTTGAAAATAATTGAATTTTTGAAATAATTTCTAACTTTTACAAAATTGAATTTTTTTTCGTGTTTTTAACTAAACATCTATAAATTTATTATATTTAATAATTTTTGAAAAAGTTCTCTAATATTTATCAAAATAATTGAATCTCTGTGAAAATAAATTGAATATTTTTGGAATTAATGGAATTATTGCAAAGAAATTTATGAAAAATTTGTAAATAATTGAATTGCTGTGAAATATTTGTTATTTACAAAAATAATAAAAGGTTTGCTTAGAATTTTATCAAAAATTTTTTAAAATAATTAATTTCTTTTGGAAAATTTTATTAAAATAGTAGATATTGAAAATCTTTGAATATAGGAGAATTTTTGAAAAAAAATTGAATTTGTTAAAAAGAATTTCATTAAAATTTTTGAAAATAATTGGATTCTGGAAAAAAATTTAATATTTATAAAGATAATTGAAATTTTGACGATAATTTTTTCAAACTTTTGCGACCATAATTAAATTTTTGCGAAGAATTTTATTACTTTTGAAAATAATTGAATTCTTCAGACGAATTTTATTAAAATTTCTTTTTAAATAATTGAATTCTTTTGTGAAATTTGATTGAAATAGTAGATATTGAAAATAATTGAATTTTTATAAATTATAGAAATTAATGAAATTTCTACGAAGAATTTCATTAAAATTTTTGAAAATAATTGAATTCTTTTACAAAATATTTCTAGAAGAATCCGTTTTTTTTATTAATTATTATCTATTTATTTCAATTAAATTAAAAACCAGTTTAATATAATTCTAGTCACATACTTTTTAAATTAATTGTTTATTTATTTATTATTTACTCAGCTTTATTTATTATTTTTTTTAAATGCAAAAATTCTTATTGTTATTAAATTTTGTAGAAAATATTTCTTTCTTTCTTAAAATCAATTCCATAGAATCACTATATTGTTTAATATAATTATTCTTTATTGGCACATTATTAGTCTATTGATTCATAATTTTCAAATACTAATTGTGTCAAAAACAAAAAAATATACGAGTTTTCCAAAGTATATAAATAGTAAATACGTACAAACGCATGTTTAGTGTAAGGTTAGAGAATAAAAAATTTACATAATAAGAGAAAAGCAGACAAAAAATGTACTTATTTAGGTTACAAAAAATGAAGATTCAGTGAAGTAGAAATTAATACTAATTGTAAATAATACATGCAACGATATGAAAATTAAATGTGATGTATGTCAAGAAATGATGAGTGGAGAATAATTATTTTATGACAAGAAAAAAAAGGTTATATCCCATGACATTTTGTTTAATTACGTCACCAGATCTCTGATACAAAATTATAATACTTAATACATTTCCAATACTGCTTTCCACTGTTTAACATTGTAAACCTATTGTCAAATGTACTTAAATCACAATTCAATTACACAGCTCAATTATTCCATTAAATTACACTAATATTAAAAGAAAGACATTTTTATAAAAAAAAGAATATAAAAAATTTCTCCATTCAAAATATTTACCTGCTTATTGTTTTCATTTTTTTTAGCAGCAGATAAAAGAGCTCCAAAGTCCATTACAAATCTATACACACATGGATTATTCTTTAACAATTAACTAAATTTATTGTGTGTTCATTCGCTTTATCATATCAATAAATATAAAAGAAATTAAATTTTTAGAATAGTTCAACAATCAAGTTGAATGGTAGACACAATATTGACATCTGATGACAAATCAGTCATGAATTAAAGGCATAGAAGAAATTATTAAGGAAGTAAAAAATTATACACAGTTTAGATAAAGAGAAAGCAAGAAAGAAATGGTGTTGTCTTTGTTTTAGCCAATAGGAACTTTTCATTCCCTAATGGAGATTTCTTATTGGCTGAATGTTTTCCGCTTCGGGACTGGCCCTTAGGTTGAGTTCACAATAGCATTTTCGAACACAGAACGAAAAGACTTAAAGGCGCTTGCACACTTCCAAATTTTTGGTCGAGCAAAGTCAAGAAAACTCAGGTTTTACAAAATATCGAACCAATGGAAAGTATTTAAAAATACGGACTTTACGGACCAAATGAATTTAATAATTTTCGAAAAAGTTCTTTGACAATTTTCAAATCCATTTATTTACAATATTCAATTTATAGAAATTTCAAATATTCGTAAATTCTTCAATTAAATATTTAAAAATAAAAACTTCAAATAATTTCAAAAAAAAATTCAATTAAACTTTAAAAAAAAAAAAAAATTCAAAATTCAATTATTTCTAAAGAATTCACGCTATATTTTAATATTCAATTATTATCTAAAATTCTAACTGAAATCCATTTTTAAATCAATTTTTATTAGAAAATTCTACTGGAATTGAATTATTTAAATAACAAAAAAAATTGTTTTTTTGAATAATAATTGAATGTTTCTTCAAATTGAATTCTTTTGACGAATTTTAATAAAATTTTAATGAACAATTGCATTTTTCAAAGAATACATTAAAAAATGTATTAAAAACAATTGAAATTCTTCAATAAGTTTTATTATTTATATGAAAATAATTGAATTCCTAAAAAGAATTTAATTATTTTTGGAAAATAATTGAATCCCTGTAAAAATTTTATTTATTTATGAAAATAATTGAATTATTGTGAAGAAATTTATAAAAAAATTTGTAAATAATTGAATTCTTGTGAAATTTTTATTATTTTATGAAAATTATAAATTCAAGGTTTGCGTAGAATTTAATTAATTTTTTTTTTTTTAAATAATTCAATTCTTTTGGAAAATTTTGGAAATCTATTTTTAATTCAATTTTTATTATTTAAGAAAATAATTGAATTTTTTGCAATGAATTTTATTATTTGTGAAAATAATTGAATTTTTGGAAAGAATTTTATAAAAATGTTTTTAAATAATTGAATTCTGGTGAAAATTTATATTATTTGTGAAAATAATGCAATTTCTGGAAGAATTTTATAAAAATGTTTTTAAATAATTGAATTCTAGTGAAAAATTACATTATTTGCGAAAATAATTGAATTTATTAAAATTGTATTCAGAATAATTACATTTTTGCGAAGAATTTTATTGTTTATGAAAATAATTATTGAGAAAATTTTTTTTAAAATTGGTAAATAATTGAATTCCTGTGAAATTTTTATTATTTATGAAAATAATTAAAGTTTTGCGAAGAATTTTATTAAATTTTTTTTTTTAAATAATTGAATTCTTTTGGAAAATTTTATTAAAATTGTAGATATTAAAAATAATTGAATTGAGGAAAGTTTTTGAAAATAATTAAAATTTTGCCAAGAATTTTATTAAAATTTTTAAAAATAATTGAATTTCAAAGAAGAATTTAATTATTTCTATAAAAATAATTGAAATTTTGACAAAAATTTTTAAAATAATTGAATTTTTGCGAAAAATTTTATTACTTTTGTAAATAATTGAATTTCTGGAATGATTTGTAATTTCTTTAAAATTTTTCAAATTATATCTTACAATTTACGAACTTTTTGTTTTTTTTTCAATCAAATTATGGACTTTACGGACTATTTTAAAAATAAAACTGACTTTTACGGACATTTAACAAATTTACGGATCTTTACGGGATTTACGGATCTAGTACGAGAGCTGCAATCGTTAAATTATAGGGATCTGCTTTCTCTCATTGTAATTTTTTGAGTTCTGCCATTCACCGCTAGATGGACATACTAATTCGTTCAAATTGCAGAGGGCTTTAAGCGTTTTCACTATATAAAAGTTTCTCTATCATTCACTCCGTGAGAGCGAAAAAAAATCGGCTTTTCCAAACTAATTTATCTCAAGAAAAAAAAACGAAAGTGAAGTGCCATATTCACAATTGTGTAGCACAACGTAGAGCGCCGTTTAAGAAAAAGTATCATATCATTCACTGTGTAATTAGTCGCGTTCATTTCCCGATAGAGAGAGCTAATACTAGGGAATAATTTGCCGACCGCTTCTGCAGGCGCTCTGCGCTCGTGCCGCCATTTTGATGTTCACGTCAAGCGTTCGTTCCTGGACAACGCGCTACGCCAGTTTCGAGAAGCGTTCCGCGTGCCCGCGTTCGTCTTCGTTAAAAAGACATTTCCGTGAATCTTATTCTGATAAAAGTGATTAGATTTTCAGCCGAGGCAATCGACCCCTTAGTGAGAGCGCGGCTCAGTGGCCTTAACTCTCGCTGACAAGTGACAGGTGAATCGATCGTGTTGAAAGGGAACTGTGCTCACAACTCTTGTAGAGTTTTGCAAATTCATTTTTTTTTTGTTTTTCACCCTGTGTGCTCCCAAAAGTGAAAATTTCTCGTGTTACTAGTGGCCCGACTTCAACACTTCTGCGTCCTCGACTATTCCTTCATTTCCTCGATCCTCACGCAGTTTTCTCTCCCGCCGCAACCCATCCCACCCCCTCTCTCTCTCTCTCTCTTTTCCCATCAACCCTGCCAGTCAGTTCGTTAAGCAGCCAGCCAAGAGCAAAGTGAATTTCAATTTTCGGGACCACGCGGTCCCGGAAAAACGGCAAGAAACTCAACCCCCTCACTCCCCCTGCCCCCTCGTCACCCTCACCCACCCAGAGAGCACAACATTAACGAGAGTTGTAGCTCGATGTCGACGGCCCTTAACCTCCTACCGACCCCGTGTCGTTTACAGGAAGCGGGCACACCGCCACCTTCTAAATGCGACCCCATGTGCCTCTCCGGCCCCGGCCTCTAAACCCGCCGAGTGACCTACAAGTTCCACCCTGGCCCGGGAATATGGCCAAGTTCCTCAACAAGGATCCCGTCACTTATGAGCGCGAGCGAGAAGGCTTCATCAAGGATCTCCACCATTTTCACGAAACTCGAGGGTAAGTCCAACATTTCTTTTAAAATCCCCCCTCCCCCTTCTCTTCCTTCTGCACCCTAAATCATTTTTTTTGAAATTCCTCCCCTAAAACAATTCCTTATAATCAGACATTTTTTTTCCACTCAACTTGAATTGTCGATTCGACATTGTTGAGGCGTCGGTTGTTTGTCGGTATCGACCAATGAATTTTGAGGTTAGGTCGATTGTCGTTATATTACTTGAGAAGAGGCGTCGCGAGGCAAACTCACTGTTTTTGTTTATACTGCCGTTTTTTTTTTATTAAAAAAATTTAGAATTATTTTCTCTATTTTTAATCAAAAATTTATTCTCGCTGGAAATTATTTTTACATTAAATATATTACACATTTTTTTGCTTTTTTTTGAGGGGGAAATTGGAACGAGAAAATGGCTGCACTCCGATGTTTCGCTGTCAATTCTTGTCTCTTCAATATTTCGTCATTTTTTACCGTTTATTTTCAAATTGTTGGGAATATAAATGAAAATCGTTGATTGTTGGTAGTTTTTTTTCATGTTATTTTAATAAAAATTCTATAACTTTTGAGGGTATAATTACAATTTTCCGTTCGTTTAAAGTTTTCTCTTTTTGAATTTAGAAGAAAATTTTTTTTTTCATTTTTAACAATTTTATAATTTTGATATTTTAATTACAATTTAACGTTCGTTTCAAGTTTTCTTTTTTTTGAATTTAGAATTTTTTTTTAAATAAAATAAATTTTATTTTAACAATTTTATAATTTTGATATTTTAATTCCAATAGATTTTATTTTATTTTAACAATTTTATAATTTTGATATTTTAATTACAATTTAACGTTCGTTTAAACTTTGGAATTTTTAATGCTTTTGTTAAATAAAATAAATTTTTTATAATACTTATTTTTGATGGGGAATATTTAAGGAAAACAATTTTCTTTTTTATGCGTGTGGTACGATTTTTTAATGTTTTTTGAAATAAGTATAATTTTTACACAGTAATTTTATCATTTTTTTTTTTTAGTGAATTATTTTAATGAAATTTTTTTTATTTTTCCAGAACGGCTTTCAAGAAGTATCCTAAAATAAGTGGAAAGGAAGTGGATTTGTACTTACTTTATGTCCTTGTTACCGCTCATGGAGGATGGATTAAGGTTAGTATTTGTTTAAAAAATAATTTCTATTTGTTAATTACGATTTTTAAATTTTATTAAAAAATTTGCATAATTTCTATTTTGCACAATTTTTTAACGAAATCTTAAAATATTATTTTTAAAGAATTAAAAAATTTTAATAAATTTTATTTTTTAATCATATATCTATTGATTGTTATTATAAAAATTAAATATTGTTAGAAAATAATAAATTTGAAAATTACCTTTATTAGAAAAAGAAATTTTTAGAAAATGACTTTTTTTTTAGAAGAAAGAAAATTAGAAAATCATCTTCATTAGAAAAAAGTATTTTAGAAATTCACCTTTATTAGAAACAAAAGTTTTAGAAAATAAAAAATTAGAAAATACGTTTTAGAAAAATTGTATCCCAACCTTTTTTTCATATAATAGGTAACAAATATAAAATAACTTTTGCTTCTAAGAAAAAACCCAATTGTTTGAAAATTTTGACAATAAAGTGAATCTAAATTTTTTCTAAAATTAATTATTTTAATTACAAATGATTTAAAGATTTTCTAACAGTAATGATTTTAATAAAAATTTAAAGAAAACTAATACTTGTGTTATCTGAGAAAGAAAATGAAGACCCTCAAATAATTTCAATTTGTTAAAATTATTGTTTAACAACTTTTTTATTATTTTATTTTCTATGTCTTTGAAATTCGATGCTACGTGTCAAAAATTATTTGGGGATTTTTTTTAATTAAAAATGTTATTAATTTCACTTCTTTCATTTAATTTTGTGAATGGAAAAACCATCAGGGTACTTTTTTAATCAAAAACCTTTGATTCATTTTTTTCGATTTCGTAAAAAAACATTGTTATCCATGCTCAGCGTCGACCTGTTATTTTTTTAGTTAACCAAACAAACGTCAGCTTTAAAAATGTGACGATTGATTAATATTTATGATCCCCAAGTTTTGAACGTTCAAATCAACGAAATTATTTTTATTCGAAATATTTTCACATTATTACCGATTGTGCAATGAAAGTTAAGAATTTAAATTTTACATTTAGAAACTTTATAATTAATTTTTTTGCTAGTGGCGCAAAATTATTAGTATAAGAATTTAATTTGAAGAAGAACTAAATAAATTTAGTCCATTTTAAATGTTCAGAACTTTAGAATCATTAATATTTTAATATTACTGTTATAGTTAAACTGCAGGAAATTAATAACATAACCTAACATTCGATAATCTTTTCTTAACGGTCAGAGAATTATAAACTTCTTTTCTGGGCACAACTTTGAATGATTTAAAGTAAAATAAAAATACTTAAATTTTTACTAACAGGAAACATTTTCTAATTTAAAAATTGTCTCTTTCTTTAAAAAGAAGAGAAAATTATTTTGACTATGAATAAAAAAGTAAACATTTTTGTTTAATTTTTATTCTTCAATTTTGCAGTAAAAATATTTTTCTTCCTGTCATGAGTATAGTATAGACTTTTAGGTATGTTAAAAATATATAAATTTATCTTTTAGATAGTTTGAAATGACTTGCTAATTAGTTGGCCTGTTTTTGCCGATCTTTGTGCGTGACTTGATTTTCACTTGACTCTCTATTGAACAATCGTTTTCTCTTGATTAGTTACTTGTTCTGTTTCTAAAAGTTTTTTTTTATTTAAATAATAAACTTGTATTATTTCATGAAGAAGTTTATCAATATCGGTTGCTTGGTTGTAAAATTAAAAAAAAATAGAAATTTTGAAATTTCGCTTTTGGAATAAAAAGAAATTCAATTTTTAAGATAATTCAATTTTCCAAATTTATCAACTATTGAAGAATTTCAATTGCAAACTGAATTATCAACAATTTTAATGAAAAATCTTTAAATATAAAACTTAAAAATGAAAATTTATTAATTTATTTAAATGTAATAAAATTAATGAAAATTAGCTTCTAATTTTTTTAAAATTAAATATTTTCAATTAAGTATTTTCGAAAATTCAAATACATACAAAAAAATGACATATTTTAAAATTATTTTTAACATTTTGGAGAAAAAGATTATGTTCAAAATTTTTTATTAAAATTTATCAAAAAAAATTATTTTTTTTAAATTTATTATATACAAAAATTCACAGTCTATCCCCTATTTCCCTAAAAGCCCCCTTTTTTTAATTTTGGCCCCTAAACGTACCCTATTCTGAAAATTACCCCTAAATTACTCCTATTTTTTTCGTCCCAGGAAATTAATTATTTTCAATAATTTTTAAGTAATTCTGCAAAAGAATTCAATTATCTTGATAACCAACAAAATTCTCCCCATAAAATTTTAAGGATTTTTAATTTTTAATAAATCTTTTCCAAAATTCAATTATTTTGGTAAATATCAAAATTCTTCTCAAGAATTCAATTATTGGCAGAAATTTTAATTAAATTCTTGGCAAAATTTCAATTACTTAAACAAAATTTAATATAATACTTTGCACGAATTCAATTATTTTTTTAGAAATTTTAATGAATATCTCGTCAAGAATTCAATTATTTTTATAAATAGCAAAATTTTTCGCCAAAAATTTAATTATTTTCAAAAATTTAAATAAAATTCTTTGCAACATTTCAATTATTTTTAAAAGTTTTTCCCAATTCAATGTTTTTAAATATTTACTATTTTCATAAAATATATCAACAAATTTAATTATAGAAAAAACTTGTTGATACAATTCTACAAAAAGATTCAATTATTTTCATAAATAATAAAATTTCATTTACGAATTCAATTATTCTCCTCGCAGAATTTCAAATATTTTTAATACAATTTTAAATAAATTCCTTGAAAAATGCAATTATTATCAAAAAATTTATTAAAACTTATAAAAAGGATTCAATTTTAAGAAACATTCAAATATTCAATAAAACAATAAAATTCGTTGCAATAATTCAAATATTTTCCTAAATAATATTTAATTTGTCGCAGAAAATCAATTATTTTCAAAAATTTTTAAGTAATTTTACAAAAGAATTCAATTAGCTTGATAAACAGCAAAATTGCATAAATTCTTCCCATAAAATCAATTCTTCTAAGAAATTTTAATAAAATTCTTTTCCAAAATTCAATTATTTTGATAAATATCATTATTCATCACAAGAATTCAATTCTTTTGAAAAGTAATAAAATACTTTGCAGAAATTAAATTATTTTCAAAATTTTTTAAAAATTCTTGTCAAGAATTCAATTATCTTTATAAACAGATAGGGAAATTCTTTTCAAAAATTAAATTATTGTCAAAAAATTTTTTTAAATTCTTCTCAAGAAGTCAATTATTTTCAAAGATTTGAATAAAATTCTTCTCATGAATAATACAATTGTTTTAAAAAATTATTATTTAAATTCTTCTCAGGAATTCAATTATTTTTAAAAAATTTAATATAATTCTTCAAAAAGTTTTCAATTATTTTCAAAAAATTGTTATAAAATTCTTTAATATAATAAATTTAATTAAAATTTTAGTTAAATTCCTTAAAAGAAATTAAATATTTTCAAAAGTTGTTAATACAATTTCGTAAAAATTAAATTTCAAGAAACATTCAATATTATTTATTTTTTTATTTAAATAATTGATTTCAACGTAGAATTAAATTATTGTTTTTCCTACTTTTAACTATCAATTCTGAAGAATTAATTTTTTTTGAAAAAGTTGAATTGAATAATAATTGATGTTATTGATTTAAAGTAGAATTTTAGTTAAAAATTCTAAAAAATGTTAATTGAATTGAAATGATAGAAATAATTTTGAAGAAATTATAAATTATAATTTAACAAATTATATAATTTAAGTAACAATATTCTTATAATAATAAACTAATGATTTTGTCATTCGGTCATCTTTAATTATTATAAAACATAAAGAAATGGATCACTCCGAGTCGAAGTTTGTTTTATAATAATATTTGAAAAGGTTTGAATTTAAAATTTTTGAACATCAGCTTAATTTCAATGAAAAAAAAATGATTAAATATTGATTTTAAATAAAACTATTGATGTTTTCGAATAATTTTACTTTTGTAGAAATTTGTAAATTTTAATAGAACATTTTTTTGAGTATCTAATAATTTTGAGAGTGAATCAGAATATTCTTTAGGGTCAGGGAAAAAGTGAAAGTTGTGTTTGGAAATCAGGGAAAAGTCGGGGAAAAATAAAGTTTAATTTTTGTGTCAACCCATGCATAAATAAATTATATTTTAATCTTTATTTAACCAATTTTTATGGTCTCCTAAAAGTCCCCTATTTTTTAATTTTCAGGCCCCTATTTCCCCTAAAATACTTTTTAGGGGCACTGTGAAGCCTAAACTTAAAAAAACTAATGTGAAATTTAGTAAAGTTATATTAAACTAGAAGTGGGCGCGCAACGCGCTGTTTTGGTTCTAGTGCTAATAACAAAAAGAATAAGGTTCTGCTACTTATACAGAAATTTTAAACGAAATGTCCATCTTGTGACATCCTTAATTTTTAGCATATTTTCCATTTTTTGAAGAATTGTTTCTAATCGCAGACTAATTGAGTTTTTAATAGTGGAAATCGGTTTGATGAAAAGTATAAAGACCCCAATGCATAAAGTTCTCGATATTCTCGATGTATGCCAACTGGATGCCAGTGAGCTTCATCCTCTCTTAGAAGAGGTCGATTTGGTTCTGGAATCTCAAACCAAAAGTGTTGCGTTTTTTGAGTTTTGAAACAAAATTCGTTGCTCTCGGGGGGGTCTTTAGCTTTCGTTTCTATGCGCGCTAACGGTGGTAGCGACCAATATTCAAATGGTACAATAAGCCTAAGCTCTAGGATAACACGGAAGTGGTGCAAGGTCACGGTCACCCTGGGGATGCCCTCTTTGGCGAGAGTTGCCGGAAGGGGGAAGTAGAAGAGAGCAAGAGAGAGAGTGAGAGAGAGAGAGAAGGGGGGGAGGTACACATAGTGGTAGAAGTGGTAGACGAGGGCTTCTCCTCAACAAGTGTAATCGTTCTGTGCACGAGGCTGATGGTTATATAGCTAGCGAACAAACCAGCGCCGTGTTCAGAACCGCGCGGACACGGAAGAGATTTTTGCTCAGCTATACAGTCGTTCGATCTTCTCACGTTAGTCGCGCCTCTTTCTTCAATTTACATCATCGACATTGTTTCACGGCATAATTGACAATTAACATTCATATAATTTCTCCTCTTTCCAATTTCATAAATCCTTTTACAAAATAGTGTTGTGTTACGAACTGATGGTACAATAATTATGAAAATGGAGAATATGTCTAATCACAGTCTTTTAAATGCCATTATATTGACCTACACTTCCTTAATTGAACCTAAACATCTGACCTACAGTTCCTTAATTGAACACTTGACTAACACCTAATGAAACACTTCTTAACTTGAAGAATATTAACAGATTCTTGAAGTTAAAAAATGTTTACACATGGATACAGGTTTTTAACACATTTCCCAAAATGTTTAGTTGGAAGTTTTATTTAAAGAAATGTTTCGTTAGGTGTTAGTCAAGTGTACAATTAAGGAAGTGTAAGGTCGATGTTTAGGTTCAATTAGATTTTTGAATTAGATTTTTGAACTTTACGTTTTAAAAGATTGAATAACATGAATGTGATTTTAATTTTTAGCTGCTTCAGAGTGATTTTGTTTGTATTTTCTTTGTATACTGTCGGGATTTATTTCCGTGCCATCTCCACTTGAGATTGAAGGGAATAGTTTTCTAGTTCCATTTAAACTGATTTCAAGTGTTTGACAAGTATTTTGAGAAACTTGATGCAAAAATGATAGGGGAAAGTATACGGCAAATGTTGTGGTTGCGTGTTCAAAGCAGTAGTAGAACGATTTTGCGAAAGTTGATAATCGCCAATGAATTTTAAATTCCACGAGTGAAAGCGACATTTAGTTCAATGTATAAGGGAAAATTTCTTTTGGAAAGATTTAGAATTGTACATTTTAGAGTTGAAAATATTTTTCTATAATCTTGAAAGTGTAACGGAACTAATGTTCGGTAGTATTAATAATAATTTTTAATACTTTAAACACAAGTGTTAAATAAATTATATTACATATTTTAGTGAACTATTTTTCAGTAGAGGATAGAAGAAAAATACAGATTTTTACATGTTACGATGCAAATGTTTTGCAGATGTTTTGAAATTATGTAAGAAAAAATTTATGACATGAATAGTTTACCAAAAGTAATAAAAAAAAGGTGCTTCTATAAATTAAAGAGGAAGGAAATAAAGGCGATATAAATACGATGCTTTTAAATTTCATCTATAGACGAATTTAGAAGAGTTTTAATACTGTTTAACATTTTTTAGCCATTTTTAATGTCACCAAGATTTTTTAGCAGAAAATTTCGAGCAGTTTTAAAAGAAACTGGAAATATTTTAATATATTGAATTCTACTTCAATTCTTACATTGTAAATGTAAATGTAAAACAAAGTGTGTATATCTGAATCCTTCAAATTCCTCGACCCCTGTTTCTTATGACGCATTGGAAATTACTGTAGCAGACAATCTATTGTCCAACCATGTCTTAGGCTTTGAAATAAATTGCTTTTGCACAGTGAGACAATATTTATTCCAGTAGCGAACACATTCTCCTTTAACATTATCTTCACGTCATGGAAAATTTCAACAAGATTTAAAATTTTTTTCATCTTATGTTTCAAATAATTGTTCTTTTTTTAAAACTATTTTTTCATATTATGTTCTTGAAATCTAATTTTACTTAAATATTTGAAAATTAATTGGATTTTAAAAGAGTTGCGTTCACAATTTTCATAAATAGATGAACTTGAAAAGGTTTTAATTTTGAATTTTAGAAAATTTCAATTTTTAATGAATTAATTAAATAAAAAATTTACAGGAATTCTATTATTTACAAATTTTTTATAAATTTTTTCACAATAATTCAATTATTTTTATCATTTTTTACCAGAAATTCAATTATTTTAGTAAATAATAATAAGTTTTCAATTACTTTCATAAATAATAAAACTCATCGTAGAATTTCAATTATTTTTAATATCAAACTTTTTTTTGGATGAATTTTAATAAAATTTTTAAGAATAATGGAAAATTTTATTAAAATTCAACCAAAATTATTTTTAATTTTAGCCTTTCTATAATTTACTTATTATTTTCAAAAATTTTAATGAAATTCTTTTTAACAATTCAATTTTTTTTCAAAATAATTTTAATAAAATTCTTTGTAGAATTAAATTAATTTCAATAATTTATCAAAATTCAATTATTTTTAATATCTATATTATTTCAATAGAATTTCACAAAAGAATTCAATTATTTGAAAAGAATTATATTATTAAAATTCGTCTCAAGAATTCAATTATTTTCAAAAGTAATAAAATTCTTCGCAGAAATTCAATTATGGTCAAAAGTTTAAAAAAAAAATTCTCGTCAAAATTTCAATTATCTTTATAAATAATAAAATTCTTCTTCAAAATTCAATTATTTTCAAAAATTTTAATAAAATTCTTGACAAAATTTCAATTATTTTCAAAAACTTTTTTCAATTCAATCAAATTTTTTACAGATTTCAATTATTAAAAAAAAAGTTAAAAAATGTTTTTAAAAAAGTTAAAAAAGTTTAATGGAATTTGTTTGTTAATTATTAATAGTAATGGATTTATAGAAGAATTTTAGTTAAAAACACTAAAAAAAATTTTTTTAATTTCTTGTCAAAATTTTAGTTATTTTTATAAATAATAAAATTCTTTTATTACATTTAATTATTTTCAAAAATTTTTTTTAAATTATTAGCAAAATTTCAATTTTTTTTCAAAAATTTTTCTCAATTTAATGGTTTTCAATAACTACTATTTTAATGAGATTTTCCAAAAGAATTGAATTATTTAAAAGAATTTATAAATCAAATTCTACTCAAATTTAATTATTTTCATAAATAATAAAAATTTTACAGGAATTCAATTATTTTAAAGTTTTTATTTTCTTCGCAAGAATTCAAATTACGTACTTTCGTAAATAATAAAATTTTTTACAGGGATAGGATTTTCTGAAAAATTTTAATTGAATTTTTTTTAAAATTATTTTTAAAATTTATTTATTATTTATTTATTATATTTATTTAGGTTTATTATTATAATTATTATTATTATTATTTATTATTTAAATTATTTGAAGTTTTTATTATCGAATATATATTTGATTGAAGAATTTCCGAATAATTGATAAAATTTCGTAAAATTGAATACTAAACAAAAAGATTTGAAAATTTTCAAAGAAAGTTTTCAAAAATTATTCAAAATTATTAAATTTGAAGAAGAATTTTAGTTACAAATTTTTGAAAATTTTTATTTATTTTATTTAATTTTTTTTTTTTTTTTACATTTTTTTTTTTTTTTTGAATTTTTTTTTTTTTTTTTTTTTGATTTTCTTGTTTAGTTTTAATTGAATTAAAATGAAAATAATTTTTATGAAGTTACACTAACAATATTCTTTATAATATAAAATAATGACTTTATCACTCAGGAATCATTAATTATTATAAAACATGAAGATATCGATTGCTCTGAGTCGAAGACTCGGAGTGATCGATTTCTTCATGTTTTATAACAATTTTTTTGTTAAATTTATGAAAAATTTAATTTTTAAAAAGGTTTGAATTTGAAATTTTTGAAAATCTTAATTTTAATGGAAAAATAATAATGATTAAATATTTATTTAATAAAGAAGCAATAGAATATTTTTGAATAATAAATTTAAAATTTTCTTTTATGTTCATAATTTTTTTCATATATATGCAGTAAAATAATTGTTTTGTGGGAAGATGAGAAATTTTTAAAAATATTTTCTAAGAATTTTTTTTTGAGTTTAATAATATTTTGAGGAAATTTATTGGAAAGAGAAACATTTAGTAAAGTATTTGAAGTTATATAATGATGTCGCGTGTCTCGTTTGCTAAAATTAACAAGATGGAACATGGTAAAAAACGATACAATGCTTAATTGTCTTTACTGTCTTGTAGTTTATGAAACGATTTAAGTATAGACGACGATAGCATCTTTGCGTGTTTAAAGACGTACATTTGGCGTTACATTTACATGAAGGACTAGCTGTCTGTATATAATTTCACTTTTCCCACCATTCTTCTTTCTTACACTGAAATATAAACTATAGTGATCGTAGTAAAAAAAGAAAATAAATAAAAAAGTTTTCAAAATTCGAGCCCTGATCCTTGAAATTACGTCTGCATCTTTTAATTTTTAATTTTGTGAGTTCACCAATTTTTGCAAAGGTTTTTAAGAAATTAGAAGAATCATTACCAATTATTCATAAATGTTGATTCATTCAAGTGGTACTCAAAATCGATATTTACCAATAATAACACTGTTAAAAAGACAACTACTAATTTAGTACAAATTTTGGTACTTTTTTTTATTGTGAAATAATCAAGGAGTTTGAAGTAAAAAATAAGATTATTTATAATAGTAACAAATAAAGATTGACATTTATTTTAAATGTATTATGTTAGTGTGATACAATTTTTGTGTTATATTTTGGAACCGATACATCGCTTTCGGTTGTCCAAGCTAGACTAATGTAAAAGGTAATGTGTTGTTCACAAAATATACATTTGGCAACATCTAAATGTTGTAGTAAAAACTTGGCAACGTAGCATTCAAAAATGTGGGGTAAAAAAAGGGGCACATAAAGTGTAAAATGGGTTCGTAGGTACAAAAAATCTTAGTGCAATTTAGAAAAATCAATTAAGCCTAATCCTACCTACGGTTCAATGTACGTAATAAACGTGCAGATGTGACCATCATGTTGTAGCTGTTTCGGATTATAGTTATAAAACAGTAAACTCTTTGAAAATTTCTAAAGAAGGAGGCAATATTCTTTCTGTTAAGATACTAACATGTAAAAAGACAAATTTGTGAATATTTTGAAAGATATTCTTTAAAAAGTAGCAGTTTGTTAGTTTTCAATATAATTTTGTAAATTCTGTTTTAGAGAAAAAATTTAATTGTACGACAGAACAGTACTAAATTGTACTTTGGTTCTATTTTAATACCGAAATCACACTATTAAAAATCTGACACCAACTTTACACCAAAAAGATTGGAATGTTGTTATTTCGATCTCGCAAAGTTGTTCATTGGCTCAAAGTTTTTAGTAAATCCAATCAAATGAAAGTATTCACACTTTTTGAAATTGAAAGTATATAATTTTCAATCTTTCGTTGTAACGGAGTCCGATTTTTAAAATGCACATCTCTAATTTAGAACCTTTTTTTTACAGTGTTGTACAACATTATTTTTGAACTTTTTGCTATATAATTCGGAAAAATTTATAAATAGTTGATAAATTTTGCTTCCTTGTGGATAAAAGATTTGTGTGAAAAAAAAGTTGAGGAAAAAAAAAGTCGACCATAAGAAAAAGAAAAAATAGTGGAGGATCTCTTTCAGAGGAACAATATTTTCTTGAAGAGTTGAGCTATTGGCGAAATGGAAGAAGGTGCCTTTCGAGGGGGGGGGGGGGCGGCAAGAGAGCTCGGAATCCACCACTCTCAGCACACAACAACAGTGAACGGTGCTGAGTAAGGTGCCATGAAGCTCTCTCACATCGTAACCGATTCTCTATACTCCACGAACCCACTGTGTGAGTGGAGGTCGTTTCGGTGCGGTCGATACGGCAACACCGCGCCCCATCTCGCACACCGATTCCCCCGCATGTCGTGTATTACATAAACTCTCTCACACATACAATCCTCTCTCTCTCTGGCTGATACGATCTGGCAACATTGCCGGCGCGGCGCACGTATGTCTCTCTCACTCTCTCTCATAATTCGCGTGTATAAAGAGAGCCTCGAGAGGAAGAGGAGAAGGGACTGTCTGTCCGGCTGCTGCTGCTCGCTGGCTACGCGCACACTCACAAACAATATTGCGGAGGTGGCGAAGGCGAACTCGAGCGAAGACAGACGAAGAAACTAAATAACCTCTCTCGCACTGTTTCGTTTTCCTTGTTCTATATAAGCGCATTTTATTGCACACACAATGACACAGAACGGAACGGATTAGAAAATTGGTATAACGATGAGAGCGATGCTGAGTGAGCGGATGCTAAAATGCCTGATCACAACACAACTATGTCAACGAATCAGCGTTTTATGATGTATAACATGTGTAAAATGCTGTACATACAATGGAGTCGCTTCTATTTGAGTTGATAAAATATTTTTTTTTAATACTTCGACTTGATTGTTTTTTAACTCGGTTTTAACTAATTTCTAAAAATTGTGTAATATCCGTGTTGTAATTTTCCGAAAATTCTCGAACTTACTATCGGCTAAAGTCATTTAAGTCGCAAGCAATGTATTGCCTCCATTTTGCAAACTTAAGTTGGAAATTTTCATTTTGCTACTGGAAAGAAAAGTTTTTATTTTCAATTCGGGAATTGGAATCAAAATTGCAAAATAAAGTCACTTTAGGTTCAGATGAATCTGGATGAATCAACGTTATTTGATATTAGTCACGATTTTGAAAAATTCTGTTAATAAAGTAAGTATAGACGTATCATCACCCAG